ACACATACCTGTAACCATAACGCATGAAGCTGCCAAATATAAAGGAGCTGACGAGAAGAATAAGTGTGTGTCATGTCAGGAAAAGAGTGCAGTCGGGTGCAAAGGCAGAGTGGAAGTGAGCATGAAGGGGTGGGAACTAGGTACTTGAAAGAAAAGGAAAAAAGGGACGGCCAGGTTGATGTATTCACAGAATAAGCAGTGGTTGAATCAAACTTTAATGGCTTTTGGGATCTCAAGCGGTCCTCTCTCCCCCTTCGATCTTACCCCCTAACTCAGTCTCCGGAGTGAGTAAGCTTCTAGCTTACTGCCCTTACTTTTTCCTCCCCTCGCCTCTCTCTTCATCCTTCTCCCTCCAAAACACATTCTGGTCACTCACAAACACGAGCTCTTACTTCCTTGACAGTAAAATCTGCACCCATCTCTATACAGAGCAGGAATCAAGGTGCTCTTCATGCTCAGGAGGATAAAGTAAATGACAGAAAGATAAAGAGAGGAACAGGAGGTGATTTACCTTCACGAGTGGCAGCGTACATGATGTGATGGCAGTATTTGTTGCATTAACCTCTGGACTGGAAAGGATGCACAGAAAAATTGTCACACAGGCCCAACAATCTCTTTGACGACTCATTTTCCCCCGAAAGGCTCACCAGAATCGACAAAGGAACCATCATTCGTGGAAGAGGATAAATGCACTCGCTCCCACCTCTATGAATGCGCGTTCCACTAATGTGCTCAAAACCAACTCCACCAAAGGTAGACTTAAACCGAAATTGAGGAACTCTTCCTGGATGGAATATGTGAAGATGCAGGTGGTTAAAGATTCTGGGTCTACAAACTGGACATATGGACCATATTTACATAAATATTGGCAGAATTAGTGCAGAAGTTCAATTAGCATGTGTAGGATGATCATGTGGAATGTCCTAATCAGTGCTGTCAGACATAATGATCTGGCAGATGCATAAAAATCTGATAAATCCCATTAAACTGAGCAACCGACAGTTTAATACATGCATCTTTTTTTGTTTTCTTTACAGTAAAAAAAAAATGATCAGAGAGGAGGAGCGTTAATATGCTATCAAAAGTGGATCCGAACCTTTTTGGAAAACTCTTGCAGAGAATCTTTTAAAGCTGCAGCTTTTGCTTACTTTTGGGCTCTCGGAATCAAATCTGTAAAGGAAGAAGTTTGAAATGGTGCCTGAGGTGAGTAAAATATTGACTGCTTTCCATTTAACCTTCTCACTTCATCCATTTTTTTCATTTTTTCTCCCTAAATCCCCCCATCCCTTCCTATGGGACTTAGGGTCTTAATGTCAGGCAGAATTCTCTTTGAGGCCTGCGCCTGTCAACCAGCCACCACTCAGCTCAGTAACCGCTGGATTCAATTATGCTGCAGGAAAGACCAAGAGAGAAGATACTGAAATAATTATGGGCTAAATCCAACTTCTGCTGTGGTGCGCGTTGAGGCGGGTGGTGTTTAATGTGAACAATGTGCGTTCGCTGGCTTGTATCCAGGATGCTCGATGACCGGGTGACAAACATTTTATGATTAAAAAAACGACACCACAGATTAAATTATATCAAAGTCCCAATCCAGCCCAGCAACTGCAAAGACTTCAGTCATCTGTGATGGTGAAGCACATTTAAAAAAAAATAACTTGATAAACCAATTACCTTCGCGTACAATCAACTGAGAATACAGAAATTTAGCTTTCAGACGTGAACAAAGGAAAAGAAGAAAGGAGCAAAAGTGATTCCTCTATGTTCTACCTGACAGGGACAGAGGGCACCACAAATTGCAGGCGCCTGTGTTTTGCTGCAGAGCCCATATCAAACACTAAACAGCTCATTCACAGCCATAATAGAGCCTCTCAAACACCCCCTGCCAATATTGTCAAAAATACGAGTGCATTTTCGTGTGTTTGTGTTTTGAGTGCTTGAAATGCTGTCATAATATTCAAGTCGAAATTGTTTGGAGGAAGTAGCAGCCAGCAGTTGGAGACAAAAACGATGCTGTTTTGAATACGTCTCTTCCACAAAAACTGGCCACAACATGGCAGGTATGATCAGTAAACATACTTACCACACACAAAATTAACCAAAAGATCAATTCCATTGACGGAATTGATAAAAAATAAAGGCAAAAAGCCATAACCTTATTTTAGACTTCACAGACAGAGATCTTGGGTCCTAATGACCCAACGGTAGGACATTTTCTGATCCAGCCAGAACAGAATGCTGTTGGTCCTTAAGATATCTGACTTCCAGCCAAGGGGTTTACACTTCATGAAATTCTGTTCTCTAACATCAGCAGTAGGTCATCAGGGCTTACTGTAGGTTAGAGAGAGACATTGAGATATGGCTGATAGTAGTGTCTGAACGGGGATTTGCTCATCTGCCTGAAATACCTGAGACACAACATGTAGATAAACTTTTGGCATGTATTACTGGGATTTTCTTGCCTGTCTGTCTGCTTGCCAATACATTTAATTATTTTATATGCCGCATTACAGCTCTGGTCAGAAGTCGGATATGCAATCTTGTGCGCATCATCGCTGTGCTATCGAAGGTAGGGATTCTCCCGCACAGTGCATCCACGGGGAGAGGGAGATGAATGACAGCATTAGCGAGGAGATGAAAAAGGGAAAACAGATTTGAATTCTGTTCAGCCAAAAGTGGATAAGCTCACGAAACCTGCAAACTTTGATAAAGTTTAACCTTGCTAAGGTCACTGGGACCCAAGTTAATTTCAGATAGTATCTATAAACTATGAATAAATACATTAATTGAGGTAAATCAAATTATGTGTGTAGGACAGAAGACCGCGAGAAACGTGCATTTGAGACGGACCATAAATTATTAGGAGAAAACAACAAAGCTCAGACTTTGGGATGGGTCTGATCTTGAAAACACAGGGGCTAATGTAGAGAGAGGGACACTTTTTGCCTGAAGAAGAAGAAGAAGAAACATTGCACTACAGAGGACACCCTGTCCTGGTGATCTCTGGGTGTGTTGCAGCCTCACCATCATCTCATCTGACACTGCTGTGAATTGTGGCCCATCTGCTGTTATATCTGGTGACAGACATTGCTTTTTCCGTCATCTCTTTGCTGCGAGAGCATGGCTGCTGTAAATCTGCTCAGCTCATTAGTACCAACAAAGCAAATGCTAGCCCACCTGCTTTCCTCCACCCTTTTTATGGCTGCGCAAATGAAAACAACATCAACAATGGCTCTGCCCACTCTCCCTACTGCACCACTCACCTTGTCACTAACATTTCTTCCTCTGCCCGGCACCGTTCAGACCCACCCCAGAGGAACTCCCACCCTCTCTATTATTCCGTCACAACGGCCCTTTAGCCCGCTGGGTCTTTTTCTCTTGGCCCCTGTCATTTGCTTTCGTGTTCTTTGCCATTTCGCTCGGGTAGAATCTCTCAATTTGAATCCTTTGTCTCCCTCTCCCCGCTGCTCCTTTTCTTTCACCATCATCCCTCACATCCATCACACATTCCAATCTTATCCTGTGATGTGCTGATGGCATTCTAACCCCAGTTACTGTGGCATGACCAGTGAGTGACAGCAAGATGAAGTGATGTCGCTGCATGTTTGCTTTGCCCGCTGGAGGTCAAGTTGGGTCGCGGAGGTAATGAGACCATAAAAATGCAGGTTCAGAAAGTTATAGGGGAATAAGATAAGGTGGAGAAAAGGGTAAAGGAACGGGAACAATGTGCAGCCAGAAGGAAAGCAACTGCTGACTGAACACAGCTTGAAAGAAAGGGCTCTCTGAAGACAGATAGGACAGTGTGCTTATCGGCCTAAAACCTGTCATAAAAAAATACATTTGCCGTTACTCATTTGTCAGGAAAAGCACACAAACTAAACAATCTCGACTTGAGAATGAATACATCAAACCTGCTTAATTACCATATGGTGCCCACATCTACAGGGTCGTCAAGTTTGATTTGAACCTAAAGTCTGTTTTTGCAGTACAACCCTCAATCGATTCGAAAAAAAATACCCTCGAATTAAGGCTCCTGTACATGTATTGTTCTGAGGGGTTTATGTTTCAGCACATTTCTTTCGCAAAAAAACACAAAAAAAGTTGATATCTATATGACGAACTGAGTGACGCTGGAGATGAAGCAATATGTAAGAAACTAAGACTAACGCCACCCGGTTATATGACCTTCTCAAAGCTAAACCGAAGTCTATTGTTCATAGAGCTTGGAAACTCTACATGTGGATTTTGAGAGTCCCACACAACTGTGGTTTGGTTCCAATTGCCCGAGAGAATCTTTCCTGGTGGGTGATATAAACAGCCTCATCTAAATACTCCTTATTTTTCCCCATTTACTTGCCTGACTTTGTGGATTGGGGAGAGAAAAAGCCAGTGGCTTTGAAGATTTGGTGAAGAGTCAGAAAGGGGTCTGGGCTCAATATAAACACAACAAGACATGTGGGTGTTTTTTTTTTGTGTGTGGATTCAAGCCACTGTTTGAAGTCTTCCACTCCACTCTGGCAATTACTTCATATCACGGATTAGATGAGGGAGAGAGCATAGAAGAGTCACAAAGATGGAAAGAAGCAAAGGCTAAGGATGGAAGTAGCACATTCATAGAGAAAATCTGAGAGGAGAACAGAGACGGTGTAATGAGTGTTTTCCTCATTTTAAAGGAAGCGATGCAGACATTCTACGTATGAGCTCGAAGACAATTCCTAACATCACGATTAGACCAGATGAAATATAGGCATACAGAATAGGACAGAGACTGAAATGCAGTAGGGGGAGATTTCTATTTACAGAGAAAATATAAGTTGAGAGGTCACACATTTTTCTGCTAACATCGCAGTTTTGATGTTGAAAAACCTGCAAAGTGCACAACACTTTACCCCTCGTTCTGGTTAAAATTCTATTGTTCGCGTGGTTGATTATGAGATAACACAAGAAAAGAATCAGAAACTCCGATAGCTGATGATCCCCTCGAGTGCTTTCGTCCTTACCTCTGGGATGTGAACGGTGTAAGGCTGGCCGTGGAAGTTTGGCGCGTTATCGTTCACGTCTCCGATCTGAATGTTTACTGTGTCTTTGACCACCTGGGGGAAGAAACACCTTCATGAAACTGTTCAAAATCCAAAGAATCACAAACACTGAAAATATGCATGAGGCGCACTAAGGAAAAAAAAAAAAGAAATCAGAGAAAAAGAGAACAGGACAAGTGTGCGATAGATTACCCGCAGGCTAGAGTAGGTTGAGCATGACTATGTTTTAGCAACTAGAATGTGCCGAATGAGACAGACACCACATGGGAGGGAAAATGAGAGCGAGAATGAAAGTGAGAGACTGAGAAAGAGAGTGATTTTTTTAGCATGTGGGTGACATGTGGTCAGGCTGTATCCAGGATGTCAGCATGTGTGGGGATGCGTCCCGACCGGGATCACAGAGCAAATCTGTTTGCGTACCTCTTGAATGTCGCTCACGTAGAACTCAACCTGCATCTCGGATTTGCTCTGGAGGAGACAAAGACGCACGTCATCGTCAACTTTTCATGGACATGTGAAACAAAGGAACAATGACGGGAAGCGGGGAGGAAGAATTACAGAGCCACCTGATCTCAAATTACCTTTGTGTGCCTCACCTCTCAAAGGATGTTCTCACTGGCCTTTCATCATTTCATAATTTCCTCCCCATATCTTACTTTCAAAACAGTGTCTCCCTGTGCCTTGGACATTTGCTATGGTAATGTGTGAGCTTGGAGCCGTCCGTGTGTAGGTTTGTACCTCACGATCGAGCTGCTGTCGAAGCCAGACCACGCCGGTGTCTCTGTTCACAGAAAAATACCTCATGGCCTCTTCTCCTGACACACCGTATATGAGGGGCTCCCCCTCTGGATCGGTTGCCTTGAGCTGGGCCACAGACGAACCTGCCAGTGAGAGCCAGAGGTTCCACAGGGTCAAAGGCCAAGGCCAATTCACATGTGACAAGTAAAAAAAATAAAAAAATTAGAGAATGCTAATCACACACAATCACGGCATTTCCTGTTGTGTGAAATATATCTTTGTTCCTTCGATGTGTCCAACTCCAAAAACACAGATATGCTGAAGATGATAAATGGAATGATGCTTATCTCTGCAAACGCAGAGGTGGTGTGTCATCAGATGGATTAATTCACCGTGCTGGATGGATAGATGGATGTGTCAGGAGGAATGTGGTTATGAGCTTCATAAGCGATGACCAAGTCAGAAAAAGCTTGTTACTGACAAGAGTCAAACTACAACAAAGCTGCCCTTTGTAAAACAATGATGCTTCGAGTGGACATAGCTCTAAATATTCAACGCTGCCATAAATCCTTGCTCAGGTTATGCAGGTGTTTGCGTCTTATACCCAAGATGATCGAAGGCAGATGAGTCTGGCGCCAGAGCTTTCTTCCTGTTGAAAGGGAGTTTTTTTTTGTCCACAATCCCCTCATGTATGCTGTGGATGTTGGCTCGGAGAGAAGATTTGGAACAATCCACTGTTTCCTTAGACAGGAACTTTTTATTTTTGTTCTGAATTGGCTTTGTATGAATTGGATGTTTTGGGAATTTAAACTCAAACTTACATTTTTAAAAGTGTCTCAAGATGAAATTAGTTGTGATTTGATGCTATATATAAAAAAACATATATATGAATTGATTGCCCACTAGTTAAAAGGTGACTGATTAACAGTTAGACAGATGAAAGAGTACTGATCTTAAACATATATTTCCAATGCAGACACACAATCTTCCCCAATTCCTCCTAACAGGTACTTCATCAGACAAAGGAAGAAAAGCCAAACTAAATCAAACCTGTCACTCGTGCACCAAACTTCTTAACACAGCAACCAATTAGGCTTCACAATCACACAACCCACTCATTTTATTAACACACTCTATTTTCCTATGAAAGGGTGGCAAAAATGACTAATTAATATAACGATTTATGAACCCCTCTCATTGCAGTCTAATGAGATTTATGCAAATTCAGCAGCTTTCAATATGAGTTATAATTTGTTTGAAGACGGTGCAAATTAAGTATTTTACCTCATAGTCATCAATAATTGTTTTTTTCCCCACACTGTTTGGCTCTCTCGACTGTGAAGAAACTATATGTTTCATGTGAGTAGACGCAAAGAGGTGAAATATAACAAATGATCCATTGCAAATAAAACTATGTTGAGAGGTGTAGCTGTGTGGAAAAATAATTCTTGCTTTAGAGCAGAAAGAGAGAGTGATCAACCAATTCCGGCATGGTGAGCCAACAGGTTTATTATACAATCTGCTGAAAGTGTCATTTTTCAGAATCACTGCATAGTTGTTTTTTTCCACACAAATTTTCTCAGGCTCATTTAAGACTAATTTAATTCAATTTTTATAATTATTTTTTGCAAGCTTGCCAAAGGCTGCATAATGCTGATGTGCACAGGATCATATACTGTTTGTTTTAGTGTGTGCGTCTTTGTTGATTTTGTACTTATGCAAGATAAAAAGAGTAAATGTCCTCCCATGAATCACAGAAAGGTGAGATATATAACATTTAGCTGCTTAGTGGATGAACTCTTCTGGGAATATGGCCTAATTCAATCTTTACAGCTGCAATTAGGATCATTGTGCATAAAGGTTAAAAAAAGATTAATTTTCTCAAGCAAAGATTGGCCTAATCAGTTTACTCTGTGGAGTGGGTATTTGGTCTCCCCCTACTGCCAATGAGTATAATTAAACTGGTGATTTTGATCCTTTCTTTTTCCCAAAAAATCCATCGATTTTTTCTTTCATTCATCATTAATGTCAGTAACAATGACTTTCCAAGCAGGATTCTTTAGTTTTTCCACACTGCTCTATTACAACTAAGTCCCTGTCACGACACTAAGGCTCCTGAACAACCTTGGTGAAGCCAGAATTTCAGGTTATAACGTCAAGTTACCACCACCATAAGAGTGAAGTCAGATGACGTGGGATTTCATTTGCCATAAATCCAGTAATCAGAAGTGTTACCTTGTTTGACAATAAGTTGAATGTAAGAAACATCTTGTCACTAAATTAATAAATATTTTGTATATTTCGCTTTATGATACACTAAGGATTTATTGAAAAAATAAGTTTTAAAAAAAGAACAGTGGGAAAAAATTATCTTTAAAAAAGTCATTTCAAAAGGACTTGCATCTCATTTTTAGTATCACAAACCTAATCGTACCAGTAAAGAAAGCTTGGTAAAGATAGCAGGTTTATGTAAACATTTTTGTTTACTAGATACAAGATATGTGCTCTGAAAAACGTGCTTACCAAAGAGTGGATTGTGACATTAAAAGAGAAGACAAAGGATAACAACTGAAAGTAACAAGGGCCTAGGTTTTTGTTTTAACAAGACTGCAATCACAAATTATATCTCACAAATAAAGCTATAGAAATATATGCCAGTGTGCCTGTTTGTGTGTGTGTGCACAGAAAGAATATCCTTCTAATGCTTATCTGTAACAGTGTGCCACCAAGCCCTTTCTCCTGACAAATGATGGTATTTAGCAGCCAGTGATGTCAGCCGTACTGTTATGAATGATACAGTGCGCATTAATGTTTCCCCACCCCTTCTCCTTGATTCTGAAATGCGGCGCTCATGACGAGAGAAATGAGGTGCAGGAATCATCTTTCTATTTCGTTCTCCTGCTTCTGAGTTTATTACCTGTGCTCGTGTCTATGTTTTTTTAAAAACAAATCAGAGTTACCATCAACAAAAGTAAGCATATATCTACGGATGGAACAAAAACCTTTTCATCAAACCTTTCTGCTAAATTTTGACCTGTAATGTGTGTTTGATGGCATCCTCATCTGGTTTTGAGGTCACACACCCCTACAGATTTGCGTTTATTCATTCCAGCTTTCGAAGAGCCTGGTTAAATCTAAAAGAATGCAAGATTGCATATTCAAAGATATTTACGGCAACAAATTTCACTGATTAAAGCAGAAACACAGAGCATTAATGAAATGGCTAAACTTTGAAAGGAAGGCGGATTTGATAGTATTTCAGTTTTAAGAACAGGATCGGTAAGCCCTAGAAAGCCAACACGAAAACTAAAAGCAACGGGAGCCTTAAAAACAAGAGAAAAAAACAACAATAGACATTCAAAGAAGCAACAAAAGTGCTCCATTAAATCAAACTCAACTACAAACTGTTGCTTTACCATGTCAGGATTTAAAACACAAAATCTGAACAGACCAAGCCTGGAGTCAGAGAGGTCTAAAAATTAGGAGGTAAAGAGAAGGAAAAGAAAGAAAACTAGAAAAAACCTATAAACAGCGACACCTGAATGTTTTACTCAGCCCAGCCTTTTAGGAGAGGCGAAGCGAGTAGCGGCAAGAGCTAAATCAGCTACTGGAGGACATCAATCCCTGCCGGATCAATAGGAGTAGCACGCGTTAGATGGGGACTAACCTCAGCCCTGCCCAGGCCTGAGGCTTCTCAAAGAAAAGAGGCTGGAGGCCAAAGCCCTGTTTATTATGTTGGTGACATCTCTGGACCTCTCGTTCATCTGAGTTCTGATTCAGTGGGACAGGCGCTGTCAGATCTGCAATTTCAGGCATGCTGTGAATTATAGCTTGGAATTTTATCGAGCACAAAGGCTTAATGGAAATATGGACAATGTGCAGCAGCCTTCCACAGCGGGGGCAAACAAAAGGGAAGATGAAGCCACCTTAGATCAATGTTCAGTCTGACTGGGGAGGACAGGCTGGAGGGAATGTTGATCTGTACCTGCACTGTATAAATACTTGATGGACAGACTTGGGCAGGGCCAGTGAGACTTGGGGCTGAGGTGATGCAATCAGTGGGGTGATGAGTCAGTGCGGTGCCACTCATGTTCCCGCGCCGCCTATCTGCTGACAAAGAAAGCCTTCAAACACGTCAACCAAGCCACACACCGTCTCCCATCAATCATGCCCATCACAAAATTCACACTCACTCTTTGACTAACGTGCAACATGAGCTCATTGGGCATCATATATTTGTCCAGTGCTCACTTTGAGAAAGAATTAACCCCTAATCCGCCTGGAACATCTTGCATAGTGTCTCAATTGCCTCTTCAACAGGGCTCTCGGCTCAAATCCCAGGTGGATGGCTTTCTGTGGGAAGTTTGCATTTTCTCCCTCTCTATGGGTGCTCTTGCTGCCTCCCTTCATCCTAAAATAATCAATCCAGTCAACTGTCTCCAAATTTACCACAGGCATGGACGTTATGGTGGTTGTGTATCTCTGTGTGGCCCTGAGATAAAAAAGCAACATTTCCAGGATGTACCCTGTCTCTCGCCTACTAAGTCTCACCTGACTTTGTTTAGAAAGGGGATGGAAGTCTTGTCATCTAATAGATAACTTATCCACACTTTAAAATGCTTTGAATAAAAAAAAGTGTGTTTATCATTATATTCAATATATTATTATCCTCAGATTTGAGATGATAGGGAAAAAAACACATTCAAGAGATGATGAATGTGTAAGTTTTATCATTTCTTAAATAACTTGTTGTCTTACTTGTAGTTAACCCTTCCAAGACCAGAATAAGTTCACTGCATTCAAATTAGACAAAAAATAACCAAAACCGGTGAAAACTTTCACAAGCTGTTCCTGACTGAAGGGTAAGAACATTTCCAACCTGAAAGCATCTTCAGTCATGTCACCACAACTTTTTTCAGTCCCCACTGCTCAATTAAGGTCTTTGAGAGTTTTCTCTTAAAAGCAAATTCAGGGAAATCAAATCAGCGTTTCAGGCTCGTCTTTTTAAGACACTCCTTGGGGATATGTGCATTAACCTAGACCCTCCTCATCAGACAATCAGATAGTAAAATGGTATTTTTTCTTTATAAGATGAGTATGAACAGAAATCATCTCATCCCCGCTTTCTGTGCCCATGGGACTTCCGTAAGCGTCCATAGATTACGGCTGCTTCGGGGAAGCCAGTTAAACATGGAAAATAAACAAAGCAGATATATCTTGAATGATAATTGTCCAGTAGCAAGAAATTGGGAACTTGCACCTTCATTTCCATACAAAGAGAGACATGTGTATTCATGGGGCATTCTCTCATGGCTGAAAGGGAGATGCATGCAGATCATTTATATTCCTGTAGGATAAGCAGGAGCATAGTTAGATGACTAACAATAAAGAGATGGAGGAAAGAAAGAAAGTTTTCCCTAATGTGTCTGCAACCTTTGAGGAGGTTATGGACCATATTTAGTTGTTACCACTTAAAGATTTGAACTGTTTGTTCTAAACTTGCATGGTTTCACACTGTCTTTAATGTATCTTGATGAACTATTCACCTTTATATATATATGTGTGTGTGTGCGTGTGTGTTTGTACACTCGCGCTCATGACATCAATAACTGTGAAGGCGAAGAGAGCCGGAGACAAATAGTGCCTGGGTCTGGCTTTAAGTGACTCCTGTGTTTCAACAACACACACCACGAGAGTCCTTGGGTGGACTGTGAATTAATCCAACAGATTTATGACTAAATCTGTCACGGATGGGAGGAGAACACACTCTGCCTCTCCTTTGGCCACTCCAGAAAGAAATATGCACCGTCTAAACCACACGCACAAAAAATGTACACAGCCTTTTCACAGTATACGCACATAACTGTGATATACTCATCTAATATGAAAACCCCTGACACTTTCCATCAAATGCCGACCCGAGACTTAAAGTAAAGCAAAAAACATGCATTTTGCGCAATCATGGTGAGAGGTGGAAAAGGCACACCTCTTATTGCGAAAACTATTGCTAAGGAAAAAAATATACACACTGCGAGTGAGAATGGAAAAGGGAAAGCAGGAGAGCAGGACATGAAGTGTACGCATCAGCCAGTTAGAAAAAGGCAGATGAAGATGTTGAAAGCAAACATTAAAAAAATCCCAATCCCCACTGCACTTATAGGAAACCCTCTGCTTTTATTTGGTCCACGTACTCTTTCAGAAACTATAAAATGACACGTCAGCAGAAACTCCACGCCGAACACCTGAAGTCGAAGTAGGTTTTAGTGGATGAGGCAAAACAAATCGCGTCAAGGCTGCTTTGCCTCAGTAAGTGCTGTCTGAGGTTGACTCTGCTGTCCAGATATGAATCATTCACCGTCTTGCGTGCGATGAGAGGGATTCAACGCAATCTAAGAGGAACTGACGAGCAGGAGGGGCGTGATTAAATATGGGGCCCAGGACTCGCTTTTCTAATACATCAAAGTGGTGAAATGACGGAAACACTGAGTGACAGGGCTGTGACTAAACAATCACACTGTGAACATCAGAGGACAGCGGAGGACATTAGTGGACAGTCATCCCACGCCTTGGCAGGCAGAGGCAGGCCTGTCACTGCGCATTCACACGCAGCTCCGTCCGGCCCGCCGTCACACGGGAAAGCTTTAAGCTCTCGCTAGTCTCTGTTCCATCCCATCACGGTCTCCCCGATTCTCTCCTGGTTTTTTTTGTTTTTTTTCTCCCCCTATCCTTCCGTCATGCCTCGTCTTGCTTTCCCAGGCCGGACAGAGGGACGCGGGCCGCTCTGATGGGAGTGGACGGGTGGCTGCTTCAGTGACGGCTGAACCGGAGCCCCAAACTCACGCGTCCGTCCCAAACCGCCACACGGCTCCCCAACACGTCAGCCCGTCCGTCAACGATGGAACTCTGCGCCGCCCGCCCGCCCACATCTCTTTCTTTCCGGCCTCAAGCCCTTGCTCTTTTCTCACGGTCCTGATGCTCACTTCGGGTTTCGCCGCTTGCCTCTCTCTTCTCTTCCCACTCTGCCTCTCCCACGCTGGCCCTCCGCTGACCTCACCGGGGGTTGACCATTACCTGCAGGCCAGCTAAATCACAGTGGGGTAATGGAACATGCAACCTTCACTGTGGAGCTGCACACATACTAAACACACTCGCATTGAAACAAAGGTCTCTCCATTTTGACCTTTTCCCTTTTTCTCAAGTGTTTACATGTTTATCATTTGGCCCCTGCGTTAGCGCATTAGAGATTTGATGTCGGTTCTGTGGAGCCTGGGGCTGGGGACGGGGATGTCTGGAAAACGGCAGGGACCGGGGGTCAGGAATGAAGCTGTAAAGATATAAAGCCGGCCCCCAGCTGCTCGTCACTGACACCCGGCCCAGTTACAGGACCCATTTCAGAATCAATCAACTTTAAACTATTCTACAGAATCTGCAGAGCTTTGTCTGTAAATTGTGAAGGAATCTGAAAAAAAGAAGCAACCAAAATTAGTTCATCTAACCGACTCAATAAAGTTTCTTATTTCAGGGGTGTCAAGCCCTCACTTAGGCGATCATCTGCACTATCTGAATACTGACAAATATCTACCAAAATCTTCTTTTACAAACTACACAAGCATCTCATGTTGGCTGAGAGTGGAATATAATCTCATTTTGGCGACAATACTGCAACTACCTTCGTCACACTCACAGAAAATCAGAGCAACATTTTCTTTCATCAAGGACAAGAAAAGAGGACGATTCAGTGCAATTCAATATTTCAACTTAAAACTGCTTTTGTGCTGAATAGTCTTACTGACAGTAAAGACAGAACCACTTGCAATTTTCATTTGAACTGCAATCAATGCAAACTTTCTATTGGATATAAAAAAGTAGCCTGTAATAAACACCTAGTAAACAATGAAAGTGTCTAACAGGTTTTTGTGCGTCTATACTGATGGACGTTATTCATTTTCAGCCAGTGAGCTTTAGATAAATGTGTGGCATCATCGAGGCTGTGTGATAAACATCTAGGAGGACTTTAAAAAAAAAAGAAAAACGTGGTTAGAGTTAAAATGGAATCATTCATAGCAGGCCACACTATTTGAATCCGTCCTGCGGTAACGTCAGAACAAAGGTCAACTGAAACGTCACCATGACACAATTTCAGATCCTGAATTTGAGAAAACACTTAGTTTTCTGTTGACCAAACAAACCGGGACACAGCTTAATCACAGAAGCATGTTACAGAGACTGAAGGCACTTAATGGACATGATGCATGTCCTTTTTTTTTTTTTTTTTTCAACTTTAGGACAACTAAGAGTAGCTTTTTTCCATGCCATTTGTTTAACTTTCCCATATTAGTGGTTCCACAGCAGTCCATATGGTGCAGCAGTTGTAAGATGACACTGCTCCAGACACCATGTCTGGTCCAGCTCGTCCTGGTCCATGTCTGCTCAGAGCAGCTGACCGAGTGACCCGGCAGCCCAAGGCCAGCTGGACCTAATGTGAGCTGGGATACTTGTGCATCTCCATCTTCCTCATCTCTCCGACTCTCATTCACCTGTGTCCATCTGCTGTGACCCTTCTCATTCTCATCTCGTCCGGTGATCAGTATCTACTCCCGTCTCTATATATGCATCACCTCCACTTTCGTATCTTCATTTTCTGATGCTTCCCCATTCCTTTAGCCAGCCTATCTATTTCCTTCCTTCCTTCCTTCCTTCCTTCCTTCCTTTTATATTATAAGCCACATTTCTTTTTATTTATTTTGCCTCTGTTTTCTCTCCCTTTCCCATTGCTAACTCATCTCTAACTCTTTTCAGCAGGGTGACAGCAGGAGACGTCAGGCTACAGGAAACAGACTATGACAAAAATCAGGCTATGACACATATACAGAACAGAGGGATAAGGAAATCCGGCTTCCAATGTACTGAGGCTGACCAGCAGAGGACTGCAATGCAGACATGCCAGAACATAAAATGTGAGTTGTCTGGGTGTGTGTATCGGAGTGTCTCAACAGAATGTGTGTTTATTTGCTATAATGTGTATATCCAATTTTTTTTTTTGTCTGCAACCTAAATCTTCTGTAGAGAATCGCCCATATTATCTTTACTTTAAAGCCTTAACACGCCACAGTTGTTTTATGGATTATAAATTAACTCATTATCCCCAGCACTCATTAGCTTCAAGTCCTAATTAGGCATAATTAATATTGTTTCCTGACAATGACACTAGCATTTTGGTAAATTGGCAATTGACCTCTTTAGTCAAACTGGAGAAAGAGACAGAGTGAGCTATGTCATAACAGTTACTGCGGTGGATTCTTTTTGGACAGACATTCCTGTTTTTTGCTCTCAACATTCTCTCTCTGTAAAACAGATTCTACTGTAAAACGCATCTCTACGGTTCACTCTGTATATGAACCAGTTTGTGATTGTTTTTGTAAAAAAAAAATTAAGAGTTTTTTCACATTGAGGTTTCATACTCATCTTTAGAGAACGTATATAACATATTAAAGTGTCCCATTAACATTAATGGTCAAAATACTCTTGGCAAGTCTTGTTTGGAACGACCTACACACTTGGCACCACAAGCTGTGTACAGTGTCAGCACACAGCCACTTAAATGTCTTTTACAAGATGGTTTATTGGTTCTTAGGTCCAAAACAAAGCCAGGCGGACCTCTTTTAGAGGTTACTCCTGTGTTTTCTAGGTGGAATGCTTCAGGTTGTTTCTCCGTTTAAATTGAAACCTTTATCTCCACCACCACACTGTTGATATGGCACTCTGGCAAAGTTTTTTACTCAGGATTGTTCTCTCACAACTTTTTCCCCGGTTCCTGCTGCAGTAAAACAAACAAACAAAAAAACCCGTCCTAACAAAAGGATGCTGTTATAATTGAGGTCAACGGTATGATTGCAATAATAAGCTAATGGTATGTGTCTAGTTTTTCCACCACTTTGTTATGTCCAATGAATTATTTTTGAGAACAGATAAAGCTGCTGCAGCAGTGCAAAAATGATTGACAGCCATAGGATGGCCTGAAACTCATTTGGGCATAAAACAGCAATGACAATGGATAAAACAACATTTTTCTCTAGTGGTGAAGATTGCATGGAAATCCTGAGTGAGTCTGCAAGTCTCCTACGCCAAAAACTCTTTAAAAGAAGGTGAGTTCTACTACACACCATGTCTCTGGGAGCAAAGCAGGTCAAGGCGGGAGAAGAAAAAGGGTGTGTGCTGAGGATAATAGCAGAGACAAATAGCTTGCTGTTCTTAAAAAAAGAAAAAGAAATTACCTGGGCTTCTAACGAGGCAGTTTTAAATGCCAGATACCTTCTCGGCTGTGAAATAAAAGAAGGGTTCCATTATAGCGGACTCTGTCCAGCCCATCATTCCACATGTGCATGAAAGCACAGATGTGAATATATGAACAACAACATTGAGCTTTGTGCATCACTGGGCCCACAGCTGACATGCACATGTTTGATGCACTGGTACCAAACTGCTACCGTATCATATGCATGGAAAAGTCATTGTTAAAACTATTTAAAGCAAATGATAATATACTGAGGGCATAATCGCAATAAAGGAAATATACAGAGGCACTAGAAAACAAACGTGGAGTGGCTCCGAGCCAGTGACTGGCCTGTAAATGGGGGACAGAGTGCAGACACCCCACTTGTCAATTAATCCTATCTGGCACTGGCACACTGGCCTTTATGAGAACAAATGTCACCGTTCAAGACAAGGACGAGATAACCTTTCTTCATGCACGCCAACTTCCACCAACCAGGGCTGGTATTACACCGCAGTCATCTAATAGGAGCTGATCCAGCATGACTTACAAAAGATAAATCAGAGAGTTTAGCAAGTTTGGGGTCCTGGAACTGATCAGATTCAGTTCACTCAGAAAAAGAAGTGCTCTCAATCTTCCAGTTGTACTTCTTGGAAATGAACAACATGAGGAGAAAGTCCTTCAAAAATCTTCAGTCAGCAAAATGGGCACACAAAGGTTCACAGTAAGGCCGATACTCTCAAACTTAAATAATCACGGAACAAATGCAAACCCATGGTGTACAATCGCCTGTTATTGCTTCATCCAGCCGCTGTGTAGTGGAATTAAAGAGTACTTCCTTGAAACAAAAAAGTTTCTGTAATCAATCAAGAGACAAGAGATCTAATCAAGATAGATAGTTCTTCTTTTCATACTTTTTGGTAATTTTGTATTGAATTTTTTTATCATGTAAATGCAAAGATGAATGATAATTTTCACAAACATGTGGCTATCTTTTTCACTCTGTATATTACTGCCAATTTGTCTGTTTTTCGGTCTTGTTTAGTTTCTTTCCATTTGTTTTTGTTGAGTGATATTGACTTTTTGTTGTTTTAATGTCTTTTCATTGGCATGGATTTGCAGCAGATCCATTCTCACATATCTGTCCTTGTCTCTACCTGTATTGGGGACTTTGTGATGATATATTTGGATATTTTATCATGTTATCAACCATTAAATTCCATCACCGTCTCTGTAACTGAGGAAAAGGTTCTGCTTCCTATACATAAACAAGAACATGTTTGCACTCGAGTCACAACATTGACTTGAATGCATGTCCATCTTAAAGGATGCATAGTGAAAAAAGGCACAGGAAACATACATAAACACACACACTTGCATTCCCCCCCGTTATTCCCCCGTTTTCCTGCGATGGAGAAGAGAGAGGTGGTCGCTGATGTGAAACATCAATTTCCAGGTTAGCTGCTCTGCGTGGCTCAGGCAGGTATCAGCTGTGCCCCACCTGGTCCAGATAAGCAGCTGCAAGAAGCTGATCTGCCACCCAGAAATGCACCACTCAGTGCTAGAGAATGGAGTAATGTGTGCACACGGAGACACGCACACACTCCTGTACAAAATACAAATAATAAATCTATAGTGTGCCTGAAACTGAAACCAATGAAAGGGTCATTTTTTTAAAAATCCAAGTAAAAAACCTTTAATTGCTTGTTCAGTAAATGTTTGTTTGTGATATCTCAATGTCATTCATTTATTCAACTGTGATTTAAGAATAAATTGTTCACTTATTCATATGCTGATTATTTGACTAGGTGAAATTTTCCAGCAGTTACCTATCCAGAATGTACGGTAGTCTGTCTTTTGCCAAATGTTGGCCAGGATCAGCCCCCAGCCATGCACTTGATTAAGTGTGTATTGAAAATGAAAGGATTGATAAAAAACAAACAAACTTTGCTCTGGTATCTCTAACACATTGCCAAAGACTCAACTGCATTCGCGTGTATGCAAGAAAATGCAGACACAGGTTTGAATGGAACTGTCCTATTTTAGCTTCATGTAGATCCTTAGAGTATTATTTTTCTATCAAACTGGGAGAAGAAAATAGTATGTCAGGTAGTCTTACTGCTGTCACCATCAGTGATAGATGTCAGCTCACTTCATGGCATCTTTCATTTACTTGGGTTGCAAAATAAACCACTTCAAATTGTTTCACCAGTCGGACTTCTTACCTTATGGAGGATTGACCCTGACTGAGCATAAAAACAGAAAGATATAATCGGCCCAATAAATAAATTGATACATATATAAATATTTCCAAATATAATAATAATATATATCTGAGAAAAAATATCCCAGTTATTTACTTTTTAGAATTTAGCTGACCATCACTTTTTCTTTTTACGCATTTTGAATGGACATGTATTTACGTCTGTTATTTTCACCTTTAATTTTTTAACTTTGTTCTTACCCTACAAGACTTTTTATTTTCATATCTTCCTTTTTTTGTCCGTTTCCACGCTCATCTCTGCCCCATTATGGAAATAAGGTGGGTTGTCCTTCAATCCATCTTGTGAGGTTGGTTTCTCTGCTATTGGCCAATTAAAGAAGCTGCAGTGTTAATGTGCATACCGTATAAATACACCGGCACTTTCACTGACCTCAGAAAGTCTTGCAATAAAAATTAATGAGACAACTGTGAGCAAAAAAAAGATCCCAAGTACATTGTGGTTTCTAGATCATAACAGGGCCACACAGACAAACAGGACACAAAGCAATGGTTACTCGCTTTCACAACTATGTTGAATAGCAACACTGAGCTGTCAAAGACTGTAAAAATGATTCAATCTGACAATACCATAAAGTGAGCGAGTACTCTTTAAGGAAATACGAAAATCAATCTGTAAATGTTTCCGTAACAAAACAAGACAAAAAACAAAACAAGGACTGTTGAGATCACCTAAAAAAACCCGAAACGTTTCACATCTATATTACAAAGAATTTATAAAAACACAAGTGAAGATGTAGTTAATGTCATATGCACTGATGAACAAAAAACTGAAACATTACTGCATTTGCCACTGTAGGAGCAGCAAAATGTCAGAAATATCCGGAGCAGACATTCTGAAAGAGCAAACAATCCTGTGCCCGGTTCAGTGCCAAAAGGACGTCATTATTGGTCATCTCATTTAGTAAAGATGATTTTCAGCATTATTATCTATCACATCTATTATTATATCCATCTCATCTATGATGATGAACCTGATGAGGAACAGGCCATGTCATCTTTTCAAGTCTTTGTCAAAAATCGTTTAAGGAAGATTTAGCTAAGAACATGGATACATATCTTTTCTAAAATCACGGTTTCACAATAAATAATTGTAAAGCTCCCTAACAAATATTGGGGTATTTTGTTTCCGTTGCATTCTTAAGCTATATTTTTACACATTGCTCCATAGTCAAACCCAGAGTCGTTGTGCAACCAAAGAGGACAGCCTATGAGGACAAACAGCTTTAAGAGATAAGAGGGGAGTGGCATGAGTTCCAATTTTTTTGGCATTTATCTTTTTTTTTTGTTGCGGAGAACTGTTTTTCCTGCACTGCTGTACTCTTGAACTGCATTGCAGGTTTTGCACTGAAGACCATAAATGTACAACATCAGTAAAAATGGAGCCTCTCAAGATCGAGTGGAATCAAAAATAGGGGGAAACAAAATGTGAGGAGGTCCCGGCGGTAACAGAAGCATTTCAAGTTGTGAAACCCAAATTATGAGTGCATCTCTGACAGTTCAGTGAGTTCTGAGGATAAAAGCTCTAAGAGCAAACACACTGAAAAAAGCCATAAAATTCCCAGGGATCTACTAGAATCTGAAAATTAGCGACACATTACGGTGCAGGAATTTGATCCGTCAGAAAATCTTAATGCCTGTTTTTTTAACAAACGAAATTAACGTGTTTCAATAACTAATCTATAACCATAATCAGTGATATTTTATTCAAATGGAGTCATGTGGATTTCATGTGTCACAGAACTGATGGCTAAGATATGTTTGATTTCACAGCAGCATTTAGTTATGAGGATTAGGGATGTAGTTATTCACGATGGTGTATCATAAATCTATAAATTGGATACGTACTTGTAAAGGTATAAATGTAAAATTTGGGGCAAATTAAAGTCAACCAGGAAAATATGGAGCATCATTATACATTTGAGTCAAGTATTACATGAAATCCATCATTGTCTTCTTTTCTTTCACTTCTTTGACTTTGGCACGGTTACATAGTGGGTTGATGGGTGAGAACTGAAAGGTTTCTGTACAGTATATTTGGTGTACCTATCTTTCTCTATCTTCACCCTACAGTTTACTCTGCCTTCATCTCTGCCCCACGCGTCTCGACAGCCAACAAGTTTTTAATTTATTCCTGCCTCCTCCTCCTCCTCCTCCTCCTCCCCCTGTGTGGGTGTCCTGTGCTACTTGCCATCAAAGAATAAATCTACTATACATATCAATTTTTACGACCATTACTTTGTTTATGAGTGCACACAAGTGGATGTAATCAATAAACTCATTTAGAAAGGTGAAAATCAGACACAGAGTCCAGATAAGAGCTGGCAAGTTATGCTTAATGTGTTGCTGCACAGCTGACGATGGGGAAATAGTTCAGGCGCAAGTACACGGACCTAATGATCACGTTAAGGGGAAGACATTTAGAAGGTATTCCTTGGGGCAACTTCCTGCTCTCTAATTATTATTGAATTGGTAATGGTACAGAGCTAATTAAAGGTTCATTTTATTTACCATGGCAGCAACACAACGAGACAGAGCTGTAGAGAGCAAGAAAAGAAAAGCTGCAATGAGTTCTGACATACTGCTGAAGTTTTTGGATTGATTTAACAGTGAACTATCCCATACCGACAAAGCTCTTCATCTCATACAACTAATAGGTTACTACAAATGTCTGACTGAAGAGACTTCAGTTGTATTCAATTATATGAAGAGTTTGCTTCTTTGAGATCCCAACTTATCCAGTATGTGTGAAATGTATTATGATGGTGAGGTTATCCACACTTGGATAGTAACTCACATGGTTGATTCAAAAGGAAACGCTGAATTTGATCTTTCCATTCATGTTATCAGCACTACCAGAATCTCTGCTATTGTTAAGGTCTCTTCCCTATTAACATTTTAATTAGCGTGTACAAACATCACCCATAAGCAGGGGAACAATTTCTGTGAACCTGACCATGAGGACTTTCATTCGGCACAGTTGGACTACTCGAAATGCAAAATCCTCCATAGCACATTGTGAAAGTTTCACATTTCAAACAAATGTTGTGTTTCCATAAGTTAATTATTCTGAAGAGACCTTAATCTGCCGAATCGGGGCAAAGTGGATTAGGAGATGAGAGTGTTTAATCAAAGTGTTCTGAGTCTAATTACACATCCCATTTTCTGACACAACGTGCAGTGTTATCTGCCAAGACATTTTAACATCAGTACCTCCACTAAGATGCCCTCCTTAGAGCGACGAATGAATGATCTGAAAGTCTGGATGCAAAATTGGCTATACATGCAAAATAGTGAATATAAATAGAGGCTAGATTTATATTCAGACTAAAATATTTAAACAAATCATCTTAATCAATGTTGTTTCAGTGCAATTTGCAATACACCAGTCATAAAGCAAAAATATACATCTCTGATGATAACAAGCTGTGCCTGCAGATTCCTGTTGAGTTCTGTTTTGTGGTAAACTGACGATGCTTTCTATCAGTGAAATGTTCAGAGACTGTATTGGCCTTGGTTGCAAAATACTTTTAAACAGGAAATCCCATCTCAGTGGGAAGAGCAGAGGTGAGTTACACACATCTGTTCAGCACATAGCTCCTGACAAGTTAAGCTGGCGCCGTCTCACATCAAAGATACATGTTCTGATGTGTTCCCGCATCTCTCTGATAAATAATGTGCAGGATGTTCGTCCAGATGTCAGAGGGAGCTGACTCCACTAGCCTACCAGAGGCCGTGCACTGAGGTTACCGGTCAGTAATACAAGTAGGAACAAATTGCGTTGCAGGTGTGTGTCCACGTGCCCGCAGATAAACTTTCAATGAAGACAGACTTTGCTCAACTCTGTTAACCAATCCGAATGATTGCACTGTGTCCGTGTCACTCAGCTTGGTTGTGAGACTTTTTGGTGTCACCTCACCACAACCCACTCACATGTACCATATGTTGTCACGTCATCACCATGACTTGACCCAACAACCCAACATCACCCGACACCGTGGCTGTGGAAACCCGATCGTGTGTTCGGGTTGTACATTTAAGTGCCAGCCAGACATTTGCTCTTTTTAGCTCATTGTATTTCTGGTGCACAAGCAGTCTAATTCAGACACATGTTCAAAAAGATGTGAACCTAATTGAACCAATCTAATGTGTCTTTAAAGCCAAGTTTAAAATTCCCTAATGTTTGCACTGTTTCTGTACTGAATTTACATTCCTGTTCTCCTTCTCTATCTAAATGCCACCTCTTAACTTGTTGCTGGGCTGTTCAGCGGATTCTGTGTGCTGGATGATGAGTTATCTTGTGTTTTTGGATGCAGAAACGTGTCTGTGTTCTTCACAAGTCATTTTCACATACGCAATGAAGTCCTGGGATCTTTTAGAAATGTTCAGGAGCCATGCAATGAGAGGATGCAAATACTGTCCTCACATACCTTAATAATTTACCACCCAGCCTAAATCAGCTCTTCAGACATTGTGACAATGAGTGAGCACACTCCCTCCCTCCTCTTTTCAGTCTGAAGAGCGCATATTCTATGAGAAGTCACTTTTAAAAAGGTCTAGACAAAATGTATCCATCTCTCTCTACAAACTTAGTCCAGCTATAAAACACCTAAACACTTTACTTAACACTCATTGGCCAGGTATGGGGCAATCAAAATATGAGTATCATGTCTGGCTACAGTGGATGGGTTATTAGGTGAGCACAAGACTTCACTAAAGAGGTAATTGTTCTATAATGATGCGGAATGCAGCCTATTGTGGCATTTAAAGGACCACTGTTTGTCATTTGGAACATGCATCTGTGTCGGCCTCTCGTCACCCCTTAACAATGAAAATAAGAATTAAGGAAAATAACAGCTGTCCATATTTTTATTAGTATTGACCCAAACATAGCTCCAGTGATGGTGAAGTGCAGTAGTTTCAGTAATGCCGTCTGTATCCATAGGCTGGCTGGCATTAATGTAATTACATGAACAGGTGCCTTCACATTCTAGCTGGTGTTCCTCTCAAAGAAAAACACATTTGTCAATGGATAATTGTAGATATAATGTAGCTGATTTTGAAATTTCCATTGACATCATAGTAACAAAAGGACTCCAGTGAAGTTATCTTTACTGATCTGTGAAGTTGTTAAAATCGGATTTGTGCTTGTGGTGCACAGATTATCAGGTGAGCGTGTTTTGTTTTGTGCTTATATTATTTACTCACATGTGTGTGATCCAACATTTGTACAAAACCTTAACAGCTCAAAAGAAACAGAAAATGCTTGCCCTAACAACATCGCATGAGATGATTCAGCTCCCTCCTACAATGAAAAAAAACAAAAAAAACATTGACCCTGCCATCTGATCGGCCTTTTCAGTGGCCACAATCACATTATTCAGGACACATCTCAGTCAATAATGATCAGCACTCACTTGTTTGGGTCATAATTCATTTTACTTGGAGGCTTGTGTGCTTGTGACAGTGTTTAGGAACTGGAAGGCCACCTCCATGTGGACATCTGTTGAGCTAATAAACAATGATCGTGACAAATTGGAGCTGTCGGATCACTCAGTCCGCCCCCACCATAACATCATGGACATGACTGACAGCTCAGTGGACCAGTGGAAGGCATTGCTGGCCCCCAGCCCAGCTGCTTTAGGAGGGTACACTGATTCATGGCCAGAGGGCAACCTGAACAGATTGCTGGGGAAACACAGCTATGCCCTTCACTGGTTATTATACCAGCCAACCTCACCAGGCTGTGGCTCTCTTCCAGAATCTTCTTCATTCTATTGTACCAAAAATGCTAAACCTGGTAAATGCCGTTTAGGGCAGTGGCGCTAGAGGTCACAATGATGGTTTACTCTGCAACCTTTTCTGGCCGCCTTGTAAGCGGTTTAACCAAACGGAGGAGGGTGGAGATGATGCTCAAGTATGGCAGGTGAAAGATACTGTAAGATGACAAGTGTTATGGGAGCAATGTATGATATTTGAACTTTCATAACTCAGAAAAATAATGAAGAAATGAAACAAATGATGGGTTGTCTGTGGCCATGACATGCTCCAACTAACAGAAAACAGCTCCCATGGAGCCGGCATAAGCAAATGCTCCTGGACTCTCTCTGGGAGCGTTGACAGACGGGAAGAGAGTAAAGGTCATGAAATGAAGAAGAAAAAAAAACTAGCTTCGGAAAAATCAATCCTATATAAAGGATTTTAATTCCACGCCACTGACACCCTCAGAAATGATGGAAAGTCAGACATCTTCAAATTGCCTTGTCAATCACTGCATCCACCGGAAAATGGCAAAAAAAAAATATGCGGGGAAGAACAACAGATCAAGAAGGAACTGAACTCAAGCGGGTGCCATGTGTTCATGCAGTGGCCAAAAACTGCCCCCTGCAGGAGTGGGGCACAATACATTACTAAGTTTTGGGTAAGTTTTGAGTTTCAAAGCTATTCAATGTTCCTTTGCTGTTCTGTGTTCAATAGTCTCGGAAATGACCAACTTTCACTATTTTGGTCGCCTAATTTAAAACAAAAAAAACATGTTGTAACATGACCTCCGCTGTCTAATAAAGTGTTGGTGATTTGTATTCAGAGGTTACAGATGAAAGAATGTTTTTTATTTTGTAATTCAGTTAAACAATCAGACAAATTAGCAGCCATTTCTTTCAGCTTTATGCATAAAACAAATGCAACATATTGACCATTCAGGTACTCACCAATAGGCATGTCTTCATAGATGAGAAGATATGTGGAGAAGAAGTAGTTCAAGAAACGTGGTGGCTGATTGGAGCCTGAGGAAAAGAAAATAAGTTATCTGCACAAGATCTTTTCCCTCATGTCTGTCCTCATCACTTGACAATTGATACAGTTTTTACAGAGTGTTGACCGTACCTCATTGTTATCATTGTGTCAAATAACTCCCTTCTCTCAACATTTCGTCAGTCCAATGGCCATGTTTACCTGGTACCTTTTCTTTTGAGCCAAACGGTCCGATTGCTTTTCTTTAGATAACTCTTTTGCTCTGTCATACTCCATCCATGATGACTTGCATGACCATCAGAAGTTTCTGGCACCCCTTAAAGTCCTTTACTGTCCCCCACCTTCATTTATGGCATTTTTGCCTTCAAATCAACAGGACAGTATGCAGAAACAGTCGAATCAAATCTAACCCAACCCACTGTAACATCAATATCACAAAAGGCTGAGCTGAGCTAAACCTGTAATCTCATTAGAATGAAGGGGCATTATATCTGACAAAGTGAGACTATCAGATCTCTAAGATGACATGTTGGAGCACTGTCTTACCACTAACACTTTACCACGACTGTACTATCTGCTGCACAAGATGTGCAATATTCCAGTGCAACGTGCAGATTAATACAGATACTGTTCTTTAGAAAACTATGACATTCTTGTTTAAGCAGCCCTTTAAGTGCTATGACACTTTACAGGACTACTGTTAGGACAGTCATGCACTAGAGCCAATGTGGTAAACACTTTACAATCACATAGAGCATGTTCTCCGTTTATCCACTCATAACAGGCAGTGACAAGGGGATCACTTTCCCCTGTGTCCCTGTTTTCTGCAATTCTTTAAGAGTTTCCGCAACATACACAGTATGTTACTGTAAACAATAGTTCATCTTTATGCCTTCTAGAAGAGTGGTGTATTTGACTGTTTCAGCATTCTGCAGTTGATTATGCTGAATGGAATCTTTATTTCAATGTATGGCAGGACTATGCTCCCACTGGTGCACAGTATATTTTAACTGGTTGGTTTAAGGGGTTCCTGGTGCTACTGGTTTCTGATCAGCTAAACTGAATGGTAGACAGTGGACACCGAAGTGAGAGAAGGGGTGGCCGAACCTGTCTTAATGAAAGGGTGCACGATAGTGCAAATCGATGATTTGAAAGTGAAGGGCTTTCATTCTTCCATGTGCCTGTCTATACATTCATGGCCTGTTGTAAGAACGTAGGGTATGCGTCACGGTTAATAAGCCCATGACGGCACAAACGAGCCACTACGGGTTGGGAAATAATCATAGTTATGGTCATCAGTCAAATTGACTTGATCGGAGAGTTAACGCTCAAGGGGAGCACTAGGTCAATGTGCTACTGGGTTGGAAAGAAGATTTAGGAACAGAGCGGACAGGAAGAAGGTGGGAACATGCTGTACATAAAGAAAAACACGCGAGGGGTCAGAGAGCCACACGAAAGGCTCATGGACAATCTTGATATGATCATTGTGCTGGATGGAAAACAGTGTTGGCAGTTACTTTTGAACTTTTGCTGCTGTTTTTTTCAGTGTGCGATTGGAGGCATCTCCCGCTCATCAAGGTGACTCCATTACCAAGACTTTGACTAGCATCTAAGCTTTCTCCAGCTCATTTTCTCAGGCTTTCAGAGATACACACTTAGCAAAAAGGCAAATAGTCCTAAGTCATTCTTATCACTGAAATATGATGTGCAATATCATGCAAAAACCGACTGAAGACGAAGAGTGATGAGAGGAATGACAATCAGATAAAATGTGAAAAATGAATAGACTCTGTGCATAACTGACAAAAAGGTGGGGACAGACAGGTCCCTATCATATCTTACCTTCTCTTATCGCAGTAAAGAGGACATATATATTTCACAAAGTCACTGATAAATTAAACATTTATTCTTCATACTTTTGCTCACTAAACTGGCATATTATATATATTTATACTTGAATGTGAATGTAAAATATTTTTTCAAAGCATTTCTCCTTTATTAAGGGAGGTTTGACTGACTTGTTTTTCAATTATTGAGCGTCACACTTTTCCACATATTGACAAAAGCAGCCTCCAAATAAAGCATTCTTTCTCTACTTTCTTCCACTGAGGCGATAGAATGGCAAAAATTTAACTGAGAGGAATGCCCTGCACCTGGAATTTGTGATCACTGTATGAATTATTCAGCCTTAATACCCGTTCTCTCATACCAACGCTCACAAAATGAGACTATCTATGTGGATTTACACACAGTCGTTCCTCACAGTAAAGAGGACTCACCTTCACAAAAGTGGAGAATGAAGAACGGAAGGAGGAGCTTGGCAGCTGTCATCCTGCCACCTAAACCCACACTCCACGACATCCACTGCACCTGATAAAAGCACAAAAAAACACGAGAGACACAGTTATTAGCCAAGCTGCTAGCCAACACTGCTGCTCCTGTCTATCCACCAAATGCCCAAATGTATTTCAGTTCATCTGCAACAGCATGGCCTTTACCTCCGTCAGCAGTAGTCTTTAGACTCAGCTTTATTCATCCCTTGGAATTACTCCTTCAGGATATTCTGATTTCAGTACAGCCCGTCCAAGATCATACATAAACAGACACATAGACATATAGGTCCAGGAAGACTGTGGGTCAGCCCCTCTAGAAGCGCCCCCTTTTTCTTCTGAAAAAAGATGAAACTACAATGAGGAACCTGAGACAATATCTGCAACCTACAGTGCCACAATTATGCATTTTCTTCAGTGTTTGTTCCAACTGGGAGTTCTTGCTGAAAAAAGAAAAGAAAAAAAACACTGAAGGCGGCTTTTGACTAATGCTGGTTCATGAAAAATATTTGCAATAAACACGTGAGGATTAAAATGAAGGCTTCGACCTTTCATGAAACATTGCAGCGTTTATTTCCTTACTATCAATTTGGTAATAAGGAAAGACAATAAATTGCTGCTTATTTTATCAGTGAGCATCTATACTGAATTTAAAGGAAGCAAGGTTATGATGAAAGTAAATCCTATTTACTTGTTTGTTTAAATAAGATTCCACCCTGCAGCTACTATCAGCATCACAGGGCTTCCATTTTAAAAGGTGGCCCAGGTAGCATCATTTTGATCAAGTTTTTTGTTCCTATACTCTATTGTGACTCTTCCTTCTCTCTATGCACCATCTCCACTTTACCAAGCAAGGTCTCGGGGCTTGGCAAACTCATTAGCAATCCAACTTTTCAGGGATACGTCTCAAAATTCTCCCCCTAGCTAAAAGCAAACTGTGTTTGAGCTCATGGTTATAAAAATAGCCAAAGGTATGGGGCCGCTTATCCGTCCTGATATCTGATGGTGAGACATGCTGAATAGAAATTGAAAGCAGAGTGAAATGGAACACAGCTCAATGCAAACCTTGCAGCTTTGTGCTGCCACATTCTGATGAAGATGTCCAGTATGAGGTAGCTAAAATACAGGTGAGCGAGACAGAAATGCAAAGCAAAAAAACACAAACAAAAAAACTGTCATTTCTTATTGTAAAAACACGTCTGTGTGTGTTTGTATTTGGTCTGCATGTGTGTCTGTTCGTATATGCACATTTGTTTTCATTTGGGTCCTTGTTTCCTCACTGTAATTGCATTTCAGTTTTTGTAACAATGCAACCGGCAAAACTGTGTACAATACCCAATTCCACCATTTCCTTTTCTCTTCCTGCTGTAGTAATGCATATTCAATCTCCTTTCTTGGTGAACCCTGAAGCCACTGTTTCCCCAAGACATGATCTATTTTTTTATTCCTTGTATTTTTTAGAGACAGATTTGAACTTCTTTTGGAGAAAATTATGATAATTTGCAATAAAGCTCGGAAAAAAGACAACACTCTGAAGAGATTACCAGTTTACACAAATGTACTTCTATTGGTATCATAATCATACTTTAGGTTGTGAAACTTCACACCCTGGGGCATTTCATGTATTCAAATGTACAGAGCCTGTCAAAAACCCCTAGCTACAACAAGGTATGCAACAAGATATTTGGGAATAGATATTAGGGGATAGTGGGTACCAATGCGTGTTCTTATTTGAGACTTGGTTTGTGTTCATCAGTCTCACTAGGATAATCAATAAAACCTGTTCCAGTTTTCAGCACTGAACTAGTAAGAAAAAAAAACAAGCAAACAAGCTCTGAGATTCTGTATGTTTTACCTTGAACCCTGAAAACAAGATTATTTTAATGGAACCTTTCCGTGTTACACAAGCTAATAAAGAATTAATAGACCAGTCCTGTTCATCCTCTAATGAGTGAAAATACACACACACACACAAAACAAATCATTACTGCCCAAGATGAATTCCAACGTAATGCCTTTGTACTGGTACGAAAACCTGCAGCACTTCTGCACTTCATGATCTTGTATCAAACTTTTAATCTGGAGATCCATGTTGCATTTCTCTTTTTACCCTGCACAATAACGCTATCTTTTCCCTTAGTTTAAACTACAATGCATGATTAATCTACATTAGAATATGATAGCTAAAAAGATGTAAACAGTTTTTTATTAGGGAAAAATAATAATTCATGCATACCATGGGAACAACATATCCCCTTAGAGGATTTAACAAAGAATAATTCTCCTTGATTCAGCTATGTTTGATAATTGCTTTGTAGCGTACACAGTCTTTGGACACTTTGTGGATGTCTACAGACACAACTTTACTCCACACTAATCCTTCCTACAAAATGTAAGGAACGTGTTTTTGATGAGAAATGGGCGAAAGTGAGTGATGGACAAGGGTTGAGAAAGGTATATTTAGTGTTTTTTTTTAAAAACATTAGCAGCTGTGAAATTACAAGCAGCACAACAACAGCAGCATACGGATCTGTGTTCTCACTGGGATTCAGGAGGGTTCGCTTCAACAGCCTCACTAAAAAAGCATGCAAACAATGTTGCATTTGTGAGGTAATGCAGCCATTGGGATACGCTGATCCAGCTGACCTGCCCTTTCTTGTCACTATAGTAACCTGGGTATGTTTTACTTAAGGCTTATGTCATAGCCAGCCATAGATGCAATGCCAGCACACACTGAGCACCTCTCTGAACAAAACTATGCTCGAGTGTGATTGTAACGAAACAACAGTTTAAATATAACCTTTCTACAAAAGCGAATGACATTCAGTTTAACCAGCTCAGTTGACTTGCCAGTCTTCTTTCCCCAAACTACATGGCAGCTATATTTAAACCCATTGTTTTGTTGTTTTGCTCATCTATTTGGTTTTACCCAATTATTATTTTCAAACCATTGTGCAAAATATTCAGGAAAGAACCCAGTTTAAAGATTGTTGTGCTCAACACATCGTAATCATGTGGTTTTCACCAGAAGGTAAGTTAAGATGTGGAAAATCCATTACATGTGTTTAATGTAATTAACATATGCCATCCAGAGTACAACATATTTCTAATTTCTCTATTGTCAAGTTTTAGTACTACTTGAAATAGTATTATTCAAAATTGCATGTTAATCATTTCCATTTTAAGGCTTTTCAGGGAAGGGCTAGGCTATTGTGCGACCATGGATTGTGTGGTCTAGGTGCATAAAGTAAGTAGCACTGCAATCACTTCACTAACAATAGAGCCGGGAGAGTGAGGAGGAGAGGAATGGCAATCATAGTCTGCCAAGTGCTCTGTGAACATTTAGCCTGGCTCTGGCCTCAACACTCAAAAATTAAAACCATTTCACTGATAACATACTGCAGGAGCCATGGCTCAAACACAGGCCTGATTAAGCTCTAAAGAAAGTAAACCGATGTATACAAAGATTTTATACGCATTCCAACGCTCAATAATTGAAAAGATCTGTGAACTTGCCAAAATCAGAAAGACTGCGTATTTGGTCAGGTCAAACTTTAAAGAATGGTTTGCAGGTGAATGGAATGACACCTGCATTCTGTACGGATGGAGATTTGTGTTCAGAGTGAGCTGCCCCTTACAGCTAAACCGCCCCACTTCATTGGCCACACCATCACCATCCATCAATCTGTCACCTCCCCCTGTCCCAACAAGAACCACTTCTCATCTTTGCTTCTACTTCTCGCACCACTTTGTCCACAAGCTTGACATTTTTCTCTCTTTTTCCAGTTTTTCCAATTTAAAATTCTTTATTTTACATTTTTTGGTCATCGATCTATTGCTTTTATTTTCTTTGTTTCAACTACAATGAGCCGTGATAGTTCTTTGTAAATAATTTTGGAGCTTGGCTTGTCCTGTCACATATGATTTCTATGCTCATTTGAAGCAGGGGGCAACAGTCCAGCTCAGGGAGACAAATGACCATACACCCTTCTCACTCACTCCTATAGACAATTCCTGTTAACTAACTCACCTAGCATGAATGTTTTTGGATAATGGTAGGAAGTACCTGGAGAAAAATCATTACATGTGCAAATCACCCCCCCTTCTAAAAACAACGCTGAACACACAAAAATATATTCATATTCACAGACAGAATAAAGGTCAGTTAGTTAAGAAGTGGTATGCGGCAAACTTCAAATAAGGTCAAACTACTTACACCAGTGCTACTTTCCAACATACCCAAGAAAACCCTTTTCACTTGATACTTTTTAGGACATGCACAGTAACTGTGCAGCATCATCTGCAGCTCCGGTCAGGCAAAGTTTGGGGGGGTTGACATGCACATCTTGTAATTAAGTGTGGCCCCATTGCTCATTAGACAGTAATGTGTGGTCAAGGCAGAGCAAAGTGAAGAAGAATTTCTAGGCCCATTTTGCTCTGTCCAAAGTAGCCAGCCTGCCTACATGGCTGCATCTCCTGGGTTACAGCACTCGATATTATTGATTACTAGGCAATTGTGTCTGACTTGCTTTAACCTCAATGGGACCCCTCTCAGAGAAGGGTGATGGGCCTCAGCCAGCAGACAAATCGGGATTATCACAGGAAATCGATGAGAAATTTCTTCCCGCCCTGAGTGCTCATAAAAAAGCCATCACTCATTAGCACAGCGATCCAAGACAGATTAGGAGACATTTGGCTTTGTCAAGGAGAAGGGAGGGGACGCACTGCTCTGATGAGCTGAGTAATGTCTTACTTCCCACCCCCCCGATCTCTTCATTTCCAAAATGATGTGACTTTTCAAAAGCTTTGCAGACTTAACTCACATAAAAAGAGTGCCATGTAAACAGGCTGAGAGCTGGACTATAGAGAACACCAGGGAGATTCAAAGTTCAAGACTACAGACAGAAACATTTTGATAAAGTTTTTTGGGATGTTTCTGATGATTTGTCTTCTGAGCTATTTATCAGAAGGGCTTGGAAAAGGAGTACAAGTAACAGTCACATGAACAGTTAGCAATCACATTATTTTGCAGCAAACCTTTCATATTGAAGGTTGCATGACCAAATGCAATATGCCCAACATAAGGAGACGATGGAAACTACACTTTTCCTGGTGAATAAACACTCAGTGTTTTGTAGTTTAAAAATCACAGACCTAAAAATACGAAAAGAGGACGTGAACAGCGTCCATCTCAGCAGAAGCGAAACGTATCCTGCTAATTGGGTTCTTCAAAACAAGCTGAGCAGAAGTCTCCCTTCAATAAAAGATCACTAACTCCTCAACGGGCAAACGGTTGATATTTAGACACATGCCAAGACAACACCCTTATTCATCTGGATGTATTGTCTGCACTTTCTTTGATCCTTGCGAACTGACAGTGGTGCTTTGCCAAACACTGAGAGCGAGTGGGTTGCTTACACAGAACCAGAGGAGATGGTAATTATCTAGAACACCACGGGGGCACAGTGCATTACGGCACCCTGTTACAAAACGCCTGAGCAGGCACAACTCATGCTCACACTGGCCTGTCCGCAGCCTTGTATGTGTCAGTGGCAGAGTTAGTGGTTGCAGTCTGATAGCGTGCCTCTGTGACACATGGTGGGCGTAAGCTGGAAAGGGGCCGAATTGGTCAAGTGGACATTCAGTAACAAAATGCTATAAAAGGTCACAATGGAAATCAATTAAGATTTCAGAGTACCGATGAAAGCAACTCGCTGGCTTTAAAGACTCACTATCTACACTTGATTAAGTTAACATCACGCAGCGCCACATATTATCCTCAACCTCCCTAAGGACACATGTTACATGTCTGTTCACGGAGCAACGCCGGCTGCCTCAGGCTGCTCGGATCAAATATGAACCAGCGGTGCTTGATTTCTGGGTCTGCTTCCGCCTGCTTCGACACTTTCATACAAAAGCAGATTTATTTGTAAAGCACATTTCATGTACTGGACAATTCAGAGTATTTAAATACAAGATAATGCATTCAAAAGTGTTTAATAGAAGAAAATTACCAACTGCTACCAGAGAAGAGCTCTCCCTCTCTTGCTTGGCTTTTCCAAGAGCACTTCCTCATATAACAAACGAATCTCTCACAATACTTATCTTTAACACTCTTTCCTACCAACTCTCCCCATATTCCAGTTTCTTGTCCTTGCTGAATCAGAACTCCACCTATCTGAAAGTCTGCTCTCCACCCCTGGCACACTTTTGATATTATTCATTTGATCTGTTTATTGTAAATTGCCATGCACTTCATTTTCTTGCATCCTTGTAAGCTGCTTTGGATAAAGGCATCTGCTGAATGAATGGATGTAAATGTGTGCATTAATATGCTATTGAGGAGTATGTCATGGCAATTTTCTTTTGTCTGAATGTAGACTGTAAGGTAGACATTTGGAAAAGAATCTGAAGTAGGATTTTTTTTCCCCCTCATTGACAGTTTGATCAAAATAATTTTAAATATGCAGTCATGACCCTCCTAATCTGCATTCTAAATTATCTTAATACATTTTTACAGGTTATTTCAATACACGGTAAACATTTGTCATGACAGCTGTGATTCTATTTCCCCCCTCTAAAATGTGAAGCGAGTTTTACACTATATTGTAACCTCAATAGTGAAACAAACAAACAATGCTGGAAATAACATCTTGGTCTTTAACCCTCCAGGGGAAAGCACTTTCCCCCCCATTAATTCGGAGAGAAGATTCCTTTTAAAACCAAAGCTGAATGTTTCAGGATCTGAAGTTGAACAAGCACTGTGCTGTAAAATAGATCTATGTTAATTAGCCAAATTTAAAAATGTAGTACCTCATAAAAGTTCCCTTAAATATGCATACCAGACCCAATGTAACTGTTCCCATTGCCCTTTTTTTAGGTCCCTCACTGAGAGGCACAGCAATGACAGAAATCATTGGATTTCATATATCAGTAACTTGTCCTAGAACTATTTCACCCGAAGATGCAAAACAAAGCCCTTTCTTTGAAAAGCCAAAGTTATAAGGACGCCCAGGGTGAAACTGTTTTTCTAACAAGCGTTAAGTGCTGCAGCTTTTTTGCAAGCTATTCAAGTCAGCAAACTAGCAAATCCAGTCAAAAGAATACCAAACACTTACTTCCTTACCTGACCATGACCAAAAAAAGATCTCAAAACAGACTAAAGGAAATTAAAAAAAATAAATAAAAAATGATATTGCCATTTTGCTACTTTGGAAACCAGTTTTAAATCACATGTACCTCAACTCTGAGCGTCTGCCACACAGGACACCAAAAGAAAGGATGAAGCTCAATCTTATGCCAGTTTTCTATTTTATGAAGAAAAAAAAAAAAGTTGCTGTGTCAATGAGTTTAAAAAGGACAAATATATGCGGTGGGGCTAACTACAGTCATTTCTATGGTGAAATTAATACACTCTCCTACTCTTTCTTTCAGGAATCAAACACAGGTTTGTCAGAGCAAAACGCCACCACTACTGCTTGTTATAAAAGACTTATTTGTTTCTCGGTAAACTAAAGGACTTAAAAGAGATTATACATGATATTAGTCACCTAACATGACAACATTCAACACATTTCCTGGTTTTTAGTTGACAAGAGGAGCCATACTACCAGTACCAGAGCTTTCACTGCTTTAACTCAATGTTTGACAAACTAGAAAATGGAGATCAGATCAAACTGTCTGTATTAAAATGGTTAGCATCTGACAGAGGCTTAAACGGGACAATGTTTATGTCCGCTCTTTTTTTATGTTAGCATTTTGAAATTGGTATCCAAAACTATAGCTCTTCCACAAGTGTTCCTGCCCACTTTGTCTTTATCCATTAGAGTGAGCTTGGCAAAAGCTGTGCAAGCCGAGAGCTGCGTGTGTATCAAACAGCATAAACAGACTGCTGTGTCAGGGGGCACCTACTGTGTTCATCTCCCTTTGTCTCTTTCTGTGTGAAGATACAGGCATGTTAACAGTTGACCTTCTTTTCCAGCAGAGGGATCAAAATGCACCTTTGATTAGCTGCTCTGAAGCACGTGACCTGTGCATCTCAACATCTCACCTCGCACTTCACTCCGTCATGTTTACCGTCCAGCTTTACTCTGTGGGCCTCTTCTCCTCCAGCATGGCGTTTTCCCTCGCCGATTCAGCCCCATTTCAGGACGAATTCCAGCCATAAATACCACCGATCCATTTTCTTTACCGCTTATTGAGGGGGACGGAAGGGGGGGAGTGCATAAAAGCCAGGAACAAGGATATGTCATACCACAGAAGTGCCATTCCATTGCATGGTCCATTTCTAAGAGTGGAAGTTTCCAAATGTATTTCCACACAGTAATGCCACTAGATGAAATCCGAATCCTCAGTGTTTTCACTGCCAGATTTATCTCCCCAAATTTGACACCCACCTACAAATTCATACACTAGCACCAACAGGATAACTGTGGATGTTTGAATGAACTATTAACCATGTCAGTTATCTTAAAAAGGCCCGGTCAGTTATCAGATATAGCCAGGGCCCGCAGCTTGCCACCACTAATTTAGGAAAACATAGTTTCACATCTGTGAGGATAGAAACACACAGGACCTGACAGCTCACCTGTAAAACAACTTGCAAAAATCATCTTCTCTGCCCTCCCCACCTTTACAGGCTTTTTTTTTTTTTTTGCCCAGCAGTTCTGCTTGACTGCCTTGGCTGATTTAATGACCACACACAGCTGGACCACAAGAGAGCTAGGTGCGAAAATTGGAAAAATATGGGAAGCATAGTGATCATGGTCGCAAGACACCAGAAATGTTATGCATACCAAAGCAAAAGGGGAAAGGTGGGAAGCATTTAAGGATTGCAAATTCTCTGTCAAAGAATGTCTCTGCATTCAGGCAACAAAAGAGCATGGACTGTACAAATATTAGGACAAAACCCGTCAGTCCACTCCAATTCAAATAAAGTATAAGTACTATTACATATTGCATGAAAAGTAAAACATAAACGGAGGGGGGGGGGTTCACCAAATAGTGACTGGAATAAATATATCAACTGTTGTGTGGAGTGTTTCCACACCTGGATAAGCGGTGGACGATGGATGCATGAGTTACATTTGCATCGTTTATCTTCTGGTCTTGCTAAAGCAATTCCAACCAAAACAGAGTACAACAAAGATCATTCATTTAAAAATGCATTCATTTCTGCTGACCTCAGTGTTTTCTCTCAGACACATTTAACATTCTTCAATGATACAATACTGCCATCCTCTCTTATCCACAAACACTGCACTGGTTGCAGTCTGAGACCGTATCAGATCCAGTCCTTAAGAGTTACTCAATCTGCAATTCATTCCTCTGTTCTCCTTACCGAGTTTCATTTAAGCCTGTCAGCCAAGGTGTCTGTCAGATATTGATTCTCAGCCTCAGTATGTTTTTCTTCCTTTTCGATTGTGGAATGAATTCAGAACGACAGACTTAGATAGGACAATACAGGCATGCTTAGCTCCCACCATGCCCGGAAAAACCTCAAGCCGTCTCTCTTCGGCTTATCATATACACCACACAAAGTATGACTTCCTATTTAAGGTAATACCTTTGCAGCATTTCTGCATTTTATGATATGCGCAAAACATCTGCACCTTTCCAATGACGGGCTACAATGAATATGAAAACACGCTTGTTATAGGAATACATGTAGAGTACTACAACAGAATGCCCTGAGAGGCAGACCTGCTTTTCAGGTAAATAATTCTGATGTGGTAAACTGTGTAGCCACTTACCACAGATTGAACGGCAATTAAGGGTGTAAAATAAAGTAAAACGGTACTCTTGGATATGTTTTCTCTTTAAACATATTCACAATTCTACTTAGTTTCCCTTCATATGTACTACATTAAGTCACTTGTGGACAAACGGTCACATTTATAATACAAGATTATCGTCTATTTCACGTTCACATTCTTTCACACTGACTTACTTAGCAAGTAAAAAATAAAAATAAAATAAAAACACTAAAACTGCAGCGACATGACTGAAACTCCTTCTTGCGTTATGCTCCGAAGCTCATCCATCAGTCGTTAATAAAACAGATTCTCCACGGAGAATAAAACGTCACCCAGAGAGATGTTCGGGAAATAAACGCAGACGACCAAACGACGTCTTTTTTCTAAACTTAATGCTGTTGTCCTTTAACCCGGCCTTGTGTCGCTGAGGTGTTCGGGTGACACATGAATAAGTAAGAGGGCAACATGGCGTTTCCCGGGAGGCACCTGAACTCCTCACGGCCACCTGAGATAACTCGGAACACCTGACACCTCTGCGCAGGCACGCAGCTCCTGCTCTGGAACTTCTTTCACGTTTCCGTGAAAAGTAACAAGACGTATGCAGCCGTAAAACTCATCCATCACTGAACTTCAATTCACCGAGAGCAGACACCCCTCTCTGTATTTATTCGTTTTTAAATACAATATCAAAATCACACACCCATGGAATCTATAGCATCTACTATTTTTTTGTTTTAATATGAAGGATACAGTTTTACTCAAACGCTACTTGTCACAAACCTTAAAAAACGGAGCAGAGCCCATGCGTAAAAAGTCAAATAACTACAGTGGAGGAAAGTCATGAATTACGCACAGCTACATTGCGCATAGATTTTTTTTTTTTTAAACTGACTATGTCATAAAAATACATAATTTAGATAGAAAGGCTTGTTGTGCTCGTGTCTCGTGCATGGCGGTGATAGGTGGTCCTACCTCGTCCGTGTCCGTGGCTGGCTGGGCGCCTGTGGCTGGACTGGCTGTCCTGCTGTGGTGCGTTACCAACTATCTGCCACCCTCTCCCTCTCTTCCTTCTCCCTCTGCCGTTGGCTTTCCCTGTCCTCACCAACGCCCTGGTGATTGCAAAAAAATAGTTGCTGGAGCGTTCCGAATCAGCACCGCGAGCCTTCCAGCGGCGACGCAGCCCAACTTTGAAATGACGCTTCACAGCCGGCTGCCTTTATTAGTCCCAAATCCAAGAAAGCCCCACATATTCTGTGAACAAACGCATATTTCAGAAACAAACTCATTTGCACATCATACCTTTCACGTGGTTTGAACTAAATAATGTCCTTTCTATACTGAATGAATAGCCCTGGTGAGTTGGTGAAAAAATGGTAGTGTGCAGACTAATCTGTCGCAAGCTTCACGAAAGCAGGAAGCACTGAGTGAGATTAAAGCGATCTGTTTAGGAGCCCTCCAAACAAGATCATGAGCTCATCTGTTACTCAGATTAAATTTGAAATCTATTATTTAATCACTGAGGACCCCAATCTTGGGAGATTAGTGAGTGTGCTACCACCACCTAGTGTGCAAAAGTAGAACAAACAAAAGCACAAACTTGATCAATCTTTATTCATAAAGAACAAGTGACTCTTTCACATAGGATTAAAAACAAGGAAAACTAAAAATTAATAAATATTAATCAAAACAAAACCTATATCCTCCTTTTAGATACCCTAAACACAATAACATTAGTGTTCCATGCAAACCCAGGGAAGTGGTCTTAAAGTAAGAAGTGAAAAAAACAATACAAAAACGGATACAACCTATTCAAAATGATTTATTTTCTTTTTGCAAATTTAGTTTTATGTCCCCATCGCAAAATTGGTCTACTTTAAGATTAAGACTAATCTGAAGAACTTCATTTTTGTGGTACCAATTAGAATCTGCAAAACACTTCCTAAATGGTCTCAAGATGGGGAAGCCCTTTTAACCCATCTCCATCACTGACTAGAGTTTTGGCAGACAGGGAGACTGCAAACTGATATGTAATTATGCATTTTGGCAGAGTAGCCGTACTTATGCTGAGCAGTCGCAGTGTGTGCAGGAAAGAGAACCTCTGTGCTATGATGGGGGATTCAATCACTAACAGGCTTGCTTTTTAAATTTGAAGGCTAATTTTCTTTCTTGGCAGAGTCGGTAACTCAAAGTGTATATTGATATGAGTAATTCAAATGAGATATTATATATATATATATATATGTGTGTGTGTGTGTGTGTGTGTGTGTCCAAATGCAAGCTGGGGCTCAGAATGGGGGAAGAAAGGGGATTTATGTGACTTTGAACATGGAATAGTTGTTGAGCTTTTCAGAAACTGCTGATCTACTGGGATCTGGGCCTCATCGTTAACTGAGCATCTCCTAACAGCTGCAGCCTGCATGAGTGTTGCTGCTGACCACGTCCACCCCTTCATGACATCAGTGTACTCATCTTGTCCTGGAGAGGCGGGCACCACTTGTTTAGGAAGCTTCCCTGCTGGAACACAGGTGATTCAGGTTAAATGATCGTTAAGCTCTGCACACGACTGATGATGTTACCATGATGTGAATCAGGTGTGGTGACTGAGGGAAGCCCCTAAAACCTGCAGGACAGCAGCCCTGGAGGCCTGGAGTTGCTCAGGCCTGTTCTAATGGCCACCTCCAACAGAATAATGCACCATGTCGTAAAGCTAGTTTAATTTCCAACTGGTTTCTTAAACATGACAATGAGTTCAGTGTATTCTAACGAGCTCCATGATCACCAGATCTCAATCCAGAAGGGCAGCCAAAAAATCTGCCGCAGCTGCGTGATACCATCACACCAAAATGGAGCAAAATCTCCAAGGAATGTTTACTTCACCTTGTTGTAAATAATACTACCAAGAATTGAAGCAGTTCTGAAGTTAAAAGGGCTCCAACCTCAAGTTGAGCGTAAATGCCACATTTGGCATCATGTGAAAAGCTAAAAGTAATGCTTTGCTGCCCTCTAGTGGTTAGTTTAGGCAAATGCAATGCAACGATGATGAGGCTTGGCCTTCAAGGTGTCTGCAACTCCGGGAAATACTTTAATACAAAAAAAAAGTATTTTCTTGGTGTTTTTTTCTTTAAAACATTCTGAGCAACATGACTGTGTGCTCCAAGTTTTTTTTTAGCTCACTGTTGATATCGGGGAAATGAAACATCTAACAGTAGTTTGCACCTCTGCTGGAACGATACTGCTCTTGAGATGCAGGAAACAGACCCCTCACTCATACTGAGGCAAGTAGTTGCTTCTGCATACCGTGGGAGGATGGCCCTTTTGGGTTCTGAAGAATGTGGTATTTTGTTGATAACATCCCGGCTGTCATCTGGAAGAAGTTCGCGCCAAAATCATCGGGAGGGTGAGGAAAGTTCAGTCTATAACACAGGCAGTCGTTATTACCTGGGAAAGGTTAATGAGCTCCGGTAGTGGAGGCTCTCTTCTACCTTTGGAAGGACGCACTACAAGACCCATCCAAACAGCTTAGGGATTATAGTACCCAATATCTCCTCATTCCTCTCTGGGGAGGGTGTGCTGCACAATGGAAGATTTACAGAGCTCTTTGCACTGTATCTGCTGTTTTAGAGGTTTGATAGAGGGGGTGAAGCAAAAGTGCTAAAAGAAATGTAAAAATCTCACATCTAGGGAGAGATATGCAAATGAAGTAGTGACAACTCGCTGATGCATTAGTCACTAAAAATAAGAGATGTCTGGAATACAGATTAGGCTGTGAGCCATGACTGTGACCCCGGTGTATTACCCTAAAACAAAATGGTGTATCACAGCATTATCGAGGCTGGAATGAAATGCTCTTTAAAAAACTTCATATATTTACAGGGACATCATCACATCAACACCACAGATGAATACATCAGAAGCACTTTTTTGAGTTTATATAATCCAAAACCAAACCTGCAAGCTCATGCAGGAACAGAGTTGTCTCCATGTAGAAACTAACTTCAAACACTCACAAACATCAGTCTGATGAGTCATTTTCCCCCATCCCTTGAACGATGAAGTGAGGAGGGAGTCTTTAATTTAACATGGTCAACTAAGTGGTGATTACAGAGAGCTTATAGAAGAAATTGCATTACTGAGACGCTTCCTACCTTTTATGGTTATGCCTTGTCTGATGCTAGGCTCTCCGTTTGAGAGTGCGCTAAAAAAGTAATGAATGCATCACTGAAATGAACAAGCGGCCGCACTGTCATTTTGTTTACAGGATTCCGCTGCAGCAAGAAAAGAACAATATAAACAACCAAACAGGAAGGTCTGAAACATGCAGCCGAGAGTGATGCAGTAACAGATGGGACTGGGTTCTTGTAAATAACAAGGAGCATGGTAGACCTTGGCCCTTGGTTTCTTAGAATCGTATTAAAATCAAATTACAGAGAGTTTTACAGCTTGAAAGCAGAACGCACAATATGCTCAGAAGAGAGGACACAGACACACACACACATACACACACACAGAGGCAGAGCAGCAGTTGGTGTCTGATACTGATCCTGCCTCTGTTTTTCTTTTACTTCATTACACTTCCTTTGGCACCCTGCTCTCGATGGCGATTCACTGTCACCGGGGAGCTAATGTTGGAAACACTCTCGGGTAACGATATTAATTGGATGTATCTGCCATCACAGTGATATTTTTATTCTGTTCTGGTAGTATTATTTGTTTTCCACCCACACGTACACCTCATTTATTTGTTTATCATTCTAATGAGAGTTTATTGGATTTTTGGTTTTATTACACAAAACCACCCTCCAAGGGAAAATACCAGGGGAGTAGAAAATAACTTCTTCCTCTCGATTGAGTTCAGACATATGAAATGCATATTCCTAATATACCTATTATTTGCTGTTCTAAGCTTTGATGCAGAGATCAATATAGGTGGCCTTACATTAGCAGACTAAAGGCTCTTTGCAGAAGGTAAAGGTTATAACAACATCATCATGGACCTTTAGTGAATTTTAGCACAACTGAGAAATAATTAAGGAATTTGCTCAGTTAATAAGGTAGCCACATTTCTTGTGTGGAAAAACAATCTCTACTGTAATGCATTCTTCACAGGATATCCAGGTGAAGGCACTGAAGACCACTCAGTGGTTCTATTGAGTGTATGTCACCATTATATGAGCAAAATATCCCCCCCAGAAAACGTGTTTCTAAGTCAAAAAGCTCTAATTGTCACACTTTTCTGTGTTAAATCCCCCCTCCCCTCCCAATTATGAAAGAAAGCAAACAGGCGTTTCCATCTGAGCATCTGTTAGTCTGACATTTTTACAGGTCTGTGATTGACCAGAGACATCTATTTTTTAAATAGATTTTTATTATGCAAATTTGTGGAGAGAGGGCAGAATTAGAAGATAATGTCCACCCAGCTGACAGTCAGTACCGTCTGAGAATACTAGAAACAGCACATAAGCAAAATCCAATAAGAATCGAGCACATGTTTCGCTATAACATCACATTTCTGATCCAGAAATGCGCGTACACATTTACATGATGTTTGTGTCATGATGATGAGGTTATCAAAGGGACGTCAATAGGCCCACAAAATAGCCAGTGGCGTTTGGATAATAAAACAGAACCTGATAAGCATGATAAACGCATATGAATACGCATTGATATTATAATGTGTTCAAATGGACTATGCACACACATTTTGTGTATTTATGTGTACTCTTACGTTACATATTCTAGCCACATATTGTGCAGAATTCAACATATATATTCCGTGTGCATGCCTGTACAAACCTGTTATTATATCATTCAAGATGCAGCAATCAAAAACACTTTCTGTAAGATTTCTGTAGTTTTAACTTCTTTGTACTTTGTACTTTATTTATAGAATTGCTCTGTATTATAAGTTCACAGAGAACATTTTGAAAAGCAGTGCATTTCCTGGACTTCGGCATGAATAAAAAAAAAAACAACCGCATACATTCTTTTCATTAATGCAGAACATAATTCCCACTATGTCTGAATGAGGCGGCTAAATGAAGCTTTATTGTTGAGGCTGAGATGGTAACAATGATGTTATGAATAACGTTTCAAACCCTAATAGAAAGCACAGCATGGATGAACACAACACTGTTGTAATCTTGTGTATTTCCCATTAGCCAAGATATAGAGCTCAAGAATAGGTTAAAAAAAACATTTCTGGAGCAAATAAACATATTGTATTTGTTTAATTATAGGAATCAGTCTCACCCCCTTCTACTCTGAGCAAGAAATTATCATGATTGCGTTTTTCCATGACTAGAAACCTGCACGGCAACAACCACACAAAGAGAGCCAAAAAAACTAATGCAACATTACATCAAATTGGAGAGTTATTACTTTACTAAGAGCAACAGCGAAGCTATATCTGGATCTGCCAGCCATCCTGTTTTTATGTCTGATCTTTCTCCAGCAGTAAAATCCAAATGCAAAGGCCATCCATATATTCAGCTGTTGGTCTGTCAGGTGGCACAGATGAAAATGGTTAAAGAGGTTCACACTTCAGTAATTTGCGATCATAAACTAGAAATGTATAGGTGTTGTCACCTTTCACTTATCAGGGGTCACCACAGAACGTCCGACTTGACACTCTTGACTCTCGACTTTTACCGCTGAATAAAAGCTGCCCCCTGCCATTCTATCTAAAGTATTCCACTATAATTGTATTACACGGTTGGTAAAGGTTCAAGCCACTGAGCTACTATAAGTAATATTTCAAAAATCTTCAAATGTTTTTTTGTTGTTAGCTCAAGCAGTCCGTGGAGAGCTGCTGAGGAGGTAGATGGAGTGGAAAACACCTGAACTCTGACAGCATGGTTTACTTTTTCACAAACTGGGGAGTGTGAGCCTCCAGGGTTCTTGGAGTAATTAAAGGTTGACCCTGTCAGGTTAAATAAAATTCACTTTTTTAGCTACTGCCAGCAAAGCATGGACAGATTTGGGGGGGTACTTGGTAAATGGCCATAACTCCACACCAACCATTGCAGCTAGACATATCTTACCCTGGGTAGTACAACTGTCAGCAACGAAAAAACACCGGAGTTAATGTTAGCATATGACTGAGCAAATGAAGTCTGGTAAGGTACAAAACAACTTTATATTGTAACTTAGTTTCTTTTTTATTCATTCTGAAAAAAATCTATTTTTTGCCACAAACCAGCATACAAGGCTGTCTCATGAAAAAACAACAAAAAATACATAGACAGAAACACTTTTGAAATGAATGCTTCCCTCCGCTTTTGACATGTTTTTTTATATGACTGACATGGCAGCAGCCACTAAACTAAAGATTATACCTCTGTTAAACAATGCTATCTAGATGCTTATTAATGACCTGTCAAATATAGAAGAGTTCTTAAATATAAAATGTGAGACAAAAATCCCAAACTGCTGATGGCTGAAGTAGTACAAATGGTAATTGGGCCCTCAATGATAACCTGGTTAAGATTCAGACTAATTGTCTCTAAAGATGAAAAAAAAAGACTTGCTTTTCTGAAAAAGTGTGAGTAACAGTGCAAGCAAATTTTTTAAGTAATTGATACTCAAAGAGAGGAGATCTTTATTGCGAGGGATCCCATTAAACTTATATAATGTAACAATATTCATGCTGTGAAGTATTTCAAGCTATTTTTGTTGAATATCGATCCACAAACAGCAGAGAGTGGCTGGATTTTTGTCTTTTCCACATGCTTCTCAGCAGATAGGTGGAGGTGGAACTCCAGCAATAGGAATCCTCCTCCAGAAACTAAATCTTTCACCACGACAAGCCCCCAAAAGAGAAGAGAAAAAAAACTCAGCATGATGCAAAAACAGTATACCGTGGTATCACATTTAGCCCAAAACAACAGCACCATGAGAAGAATGGCAATGTGATTTATTTATTCCATAAAAAGGAGACAAAACACATTTTTACATCTTTCGAGATGTTTGATTGAGACCACTCTTTGAGATTACATCTTTACAAGTTTAGATTAATACTTGATTAGATTAGCTGTTTTTCTAAGCTCTCTTTTGTTTTGAACCCAAGCATCTTTAGGACGTATTGTGTTTAAGATAATTGGACAAGTCAACTAATTTACTCCAAAATCTAAGGTTGAATAATGTTAGCTCAGCAAAAATATGTCTTAGTTTTACATTATGTGCTATGTGTTAAAGGGGACATATTATGCAAAACCAAGTTTTTAATAATTTGATTATGTACATTTGGGACTGTGGAGGTCCTATCAGCAGGCAAAGTGTGAAAAAAAATGACTCAGTCTCAACACAGGAGATAGATCAGGCGGTTTCAGGAGTCGGTAGTTTATGACGTCATTAGCTCTAGCTCATTATTATATTCCAGCTTTCACCTGCAGGTTTCCAACCACCTGAGCTTACTCCGCCTATCTGTGCTCCGCCATTGTCCCTACCAGCAAGAGAGCGAGCTGACATGCGGACTTGTAAAATTGTCTCGTGTCACGGTAAGAGCATGCTACTTATGTTAACTCAACTAAAAGAAAGCTAGATTTTTATAAGCAGTAAATTACACAAACAGCGGTCAGCGGTTGACCATATTTAGTCAGCGACCATATTTACCCGACGTACAAACATACACATTTTTAAGAAAAAAGTCAAATAAAGCTAATAACTCACCATTCATAAACGTCGTGTTGCAGTGTACATTGAACGGCTTCTTCGCTAGCTCCTTCTTCTTCAGAGTCTGACTCTGGTTCAAACATATAAGGTTGGACCGAAAAGTTTCCTCCGGCTGCAATGTTTCTCTCAGAGTTCACGTTCAGGTGTTGTCATGGTAGCGTGAGCGTGCCGACGTCGGCACACCTCCCGGAAGCAGTGGGTGGATTGCCTGTGTCTCATTTGCATTTAAAGAGACAGGCACTCCAAACCGAACGCTCTGAACAGGGCTGTTTTGGCAGGGTGATTGAACTGCTATTGTGCTTCATCCTTATGGTATTTTGACCAAAGCTTGTCACAGAAATTAAATTAGGATACCAGGGAACTACTTTAACTTGCTGAAATTGGTTATAATATGACTCCTTTAATTCCTATTTACTTTGATAATTTGCCTTTTGCATGAATGTGTTTCTTTGAGGAAACAGTATGGATTACTGCAGAGGTAGGCTGCCGTCTGCAGACGTCTGCACCGAAACGAGGGTCGAAATTCTGCTTCCTTATCTTAGGGGCACGTAAACCCAACAAACCCTCAACTTCACTGTTGGCCCTTGTTGGCCCACTATCACTGCGATTTGCATCTTTTCTAAAGAGCCATTACTCACTGCCAAAGCAAACATGGAAACTAAATTAGAATTTTTGCAACTGTGTGTTTAATCAGCGGGCACAACCTAATCTGGATCAGTCACCACACTATTATACCATCCATTAATCCTTTTCTAAATCAGGCAGGCTGGCCTCAGTTAGCATTAGCCCCCCAAAAAGTCAGCTTGGCATAAAAAACATTGCATTTTGGTTTGTCCCATGTGCTTCCCCTGCATAAGGCACGCAGGTAGGTGGTGTGATCATGAGGTCACAAAGCCAAGAAAATCTCCAGCCAGCAGAAAGACGTGGACTCAGCAACTAGACAAAACATCTCAGGGGTAAATCAATTACTGTTTTTTTTTCACCCTTGTTTAAAGAAAGGATCAAGGAGTCGCTCCAAAAGCCGAAAGATTTTTTTTGCCTCAAGCGTTTAAGTGATTGATCGATGACATGATTCCACTTCCAAGTAAATTAGCTTATCTGCTTGGCTGAGAAATCTGATCCAATTATGAGCAGAGAAGACAGAGCCGTGGCCCGTCACGTTCTGCATGTGTGCAAACTGGTGTGAATCGTGTGAGTGAATACAGTTTCTAATGAAGAGAGAATGAAACACCGAGGAAACATTAAGTATACTTTGCGTGGGGAGTAGCTTTTGGATGCACATCAATAGTAATTTAAGATATTGGTCGTTTTTTCTGTCTTTTTAAATACTATTTTGAATATATATGACAAAACTATGACAATCAAAATTATACCCCATCCAATCTAAAAGAAAACTTTCAGTTTAATATCTCTCCTTTTTTTCAAGTGCAGAGCAAATTTCGGACATTAAATTCTATCCTCCCAGATGGCAACGATCCCTGTGATGTGCTCAGTCAAACAAGGTGTTTTGCTCCTCATTTCCCCAGTTTTCCATTATCACTTCACTAGATTTATTTATTAACATCCACACATTACATGCTGCTAATTTCTGTCCATTTTTTGGTGTGATGTTAATAATAACAGACTGTGAACTGAAGCCAGGACTGGCTCATCCAGGGTATGGGGTCCTGCAGGGACTGCTGGGAGAGGCCCCTGTGCCACCTTGTGTCCTTGAATTGTATTAAGCAAATACGGAAAATGCACGGATGGAATTAAAACCCTTTGGCTTGTCAACATTGTAAAGTGTAAGTTGTTTTGTCCTTTTAGTTTCGTGTCTCTTTTAACCACTACAGATCGAAGGACTTCATCTCAAGGAGAAAAATCCTCGAACCGTCGTACGTTTTATTGGGTTTTCAACATTTTAATTCGAACGTGGCTGGCTCGGCAGAAGCTATCTGTCATCGGAGATTAAAACACTAAGTCTTATTGAAGGTTAATAAAATCTGTTGGACAAAGCGGATGACAATGATGAAGCATGATTACGTATGGCAGTGGTTTCCAGCTCATTTGAAAAAGTCAGCTTCAAGTCACTTTACCTCCAGTGGGTTAAAAATGAATAACTTTAATTTGGGGAATGCCTCCTCGATAGTCTGCTCAGAGTGGAACTAATCAACATTGTGTTAATCTGAATCTGAAGCAGTCATTAACCTCAAAATGATAGTTTTGCCTAAAACAGGCTGCCGCACATCACAATAAACCAAGCTGCACAGAAGTATTACAACAGGCCTAAACGGTCTGTTGATCTTTACTCATTCTCTGCCTTGGGGGGGGGCTAAAAGATGCACCCAAAGGCAATAATTAAAACAATACCAGAGGCCAAAATATTCTTATTCAGATCACTCTCCGGTTTTCTATCAGCCTACAGCAGAAGTTCCAAAGTGGCTCAGTTTATCCCTCCACAGCTGCCCCTTTGGTTGTCATCATTTTAATATTAAAAAATTAAATGTTTACTTTCAGTTTTTTGCCATAGTAAGAATATATGGTGAGTCACAAGCTGTTTGTCGTAAGCTACATTTGACCTCAAAATTACTTTTGATTATTCTTTATAGGGAAAGATTAAATCTTTCAATATTGATTGTGTCCACATAAAGATGAAAATAATATAATTATATTTTTTCTTACCTTGTGGTCACTTGGGCATCAAGATCAATCTTGTTTTGATGTAATCATAAAAAGTTCATTCAGAGGATGAAATTAAAAACATCTAAGAAATAAAACTTGTTTTAGCTTATTTTAAAGCCCACTTGATATTAATCTCAAAGCACTAAAAGTGCAAACAGGTACAGAGTCCTTCTATACAGTAACTCTCTACTTATTAATGTTAAAGTACTGTAGAAAAGTCAAAGGAGATTAACCTTATTTAAAGTTAAATGTAAAGTTATAAGTTATTGTTTCAGCAAAAGTATCAAATTTTCCCTAAAAAAAATCAGCCAAATGAATTTGCCATATCACAATGATGAAAATGTGTTTTTCTCAGTCAGATTTGTTTTTTACTTTCATGTCTTATTTTTTCATTTATACTGCAAAGGAGATGTGGTAACCATACTTCCTCTAGAATTTGGAAGTGTGCAGGTAACAAACACAAATATTAGAACAAATATCAAAGCTTTCAAATTGGTAGCCTCTGAGCTGCAAATCCAGATGAGTGCAGGTAGGAGGCTTTCCCTTTTATGATGCTCATCAATGTGCTTTTTCACGCTCTGACTCAGCCATCATGTAGAATTTAGTCTGATATTCAATATAGAAGAACTGTACAGTGTGGCCTACGTAAGCTGACAAGTCATTGTGTAAAACGCAACAATGCGGAGTATCCTGAACAAAATCGGTTCCAAAAATATCCCGAGAAGTGATGTCCAATGAAGCTGAAAATTCAGGAGCAAGTCCATTCCTGTGCAGCACAGTGAGTCATTGTGTTGCAGGGCATATCTGGAGAGTGCATGGACCCAATGAGTGGGAAAGTGAGGAGGACTTTTAAAAGACATGTTCAGTGTGTTTTGCATTCTTATTTTAAAGGATACCTCACTGGATGTGTTACCAAAGAGGATAAGCAGAACCTTGAAGAAGAAAATAATACAAGTGAACATTGGATCTAAAAAGCAAAATTACCACAATGTTGAGTCCATTGGAAATGTCGTTGTTTACTTTGAGACAACAAAGAGTCCGAATGGTATTAAACCAGAGAACAAAGTACTGTCTTTTATCTTTCCTGTAATTGAGTGGGTTTGCAATCTTGTTCTAATTCTCAGAATGCATGTAGGACTTCTCTGACTAGAGTATAGCAGTAATAGTAATAGTTTATGATAAACATGCTGCACTCTGTAAAATCTGAAGAGTTATATGTCTGGCAGAAAGCTTTGAAGTTCGAACTCACCTCCCAACCTACCACCATTTCTTTTCTCCTCTTGTTTTGCTGTGTTCTTACTCTCAGCAAAGACTTGAGGCGCATTGCTTAGAACAGCAGTGACTGAAACAAAGAGATAGGTAAAAAAAAAAAAAAAAATCTTGGCTGCGTTTGTGTGTTAGCAAACCTGAATTCATCTTTATCTCATACATACCTAAACAGATGCCTTGTTAACGAGCAAGAACGGCAGAATTTCAAAACTACATCAGTCTCCAACTTGTTAGGCTCGTGACCTAGAAAGCAGGCAGGGAATTTTTTATTTTTTATTTTTTTTTGGGTCTGACTTTTCCCACAACAGCTTCCACGCCCTTTGCCAGACACACTTTCACATGCGTGTAGAGACACGGAGTTTGACTGGCAGATATTGTGGGAAGGCCGGTCTTAAAATGCATGAAATATTCATTTATGGTCTATGAAGTGCCGGCCAGGTTTCCCCAGCTTGCAGGTTTCGCTGCCTCGGCTCCCTCACATCCGCCTGACCGCAGAGACCCCGAGGTGCTGCATTCTTCACACCAGATAAGAGGGCAGAGCCAACAGAGAGCCGGGCTCCTGTGAGCGGGCCTGCCTCTGGAGCAGGGGGATGTTCCGCCGTGTGTCTGAGCCTGAAAAGCAGTGCTGATGGATTCATCCCGCCAGCTGTTGGGCTGCTGGGACAGCCCTCGGCCTGTGAAGGCCTACCTCAGGTGCACCGTTGGGGTCTCATTTACAGAGGGCTTCATTATTCATGCACATTGTCTCCGGTCTACAAAGAAAAAGAAAAAAAAAAAGACAAGAAGACATCCAGTTCATCACTGTCATGGACGGGAGCCATGGACTTGTTTATCAGGCTTTCTGTGAGGTCCCAAGGGGATGTTCCGGAAACTTCTGGTCATCTGACTCTTTATATGCCAAGGGAGACAAGCAACACACACACAGACACACACACACACACACGCACTGGGCGATGGAGAGGGAGGCAGGCTCCACGCGCGTATAGTGACGCCCTGAGTCTCTCTTTACTTCATGTGTCTCATTACTCTCTCTCTCTCTCTCTCAGTTCCATCCCGCACCTGAACATTTTTTTTTTCTTCCAGATTTGGCCGTCCGCTTCCCCCAAAACTGATGAGATCCCAAACCAGATCGTTTTAGGGAGCGCAAGAGGAGCTGGCAGCAACAGAGTTGCGTTAAAGAAGATGTCCAACTGAGGCGGTCGGAGGGGAGAGAGAGCAGGCAGGGGGAAAGAAAAGACTGCTCCAGGTGACCGAGTTGCAATGGAGGCGCTTGGCATCCGCGATTAGGAAGCATCGCCCGCACAAGCACTGTTGAGTTTTTTCCCCTTTTTTCTTTGATTGTTCAAAGTGGACCCTTCTCCCGCTGACCGGGACTGCTTTGTATCCGATTCGATTGGCGGATTTTCTGGAGACCATGAACGTGTCCCCCACAGACCGGAGGAAAAGCATGCGACAGCTGGCTCTGGAGATTGGCATCCGAGTTCTGCTCTTCGGAGTTTTCGTGTAAGTAAACCTTCAATCGGCTGTTTAAAATACGTTCCCAAAACAGATCTGGCGCTGTGTTTGTCGCGCGACGGCAGTGAGTTCCGTGACAGATTCGGTCCGCCTGCTCTCCCAGGATTTAGGCGCAAAAGTGAGCGGTTGGGTTTATTTGGGATGAGTTCCGTGCCTTTTCGGTTGTTCAGCACCATGGACAGATCATTCCACAGCGCGCCGTTAACAGGTTGCCTTGGTATCCTACTTTTCTGACCTGAATCAGGACCATTTGGTTTTCACCCTATTTTTTTTGCTTGTTGTCAAAAATCCCTCTGAGGTTAAATTTCTTCTGAGCTCATAGGCTATAGCTTGAAAGGGGCACCGGTCTTGTTTGATCACTTCATATAAAACTAAGTCACCACAAGGGAGGCCCAGTGAGCTCTGATGCTGTGAATATGAGACTTCATGAGCAGATAGAGCCTCCCAGCCTCGACCTTCAACACTAACATGAACATAAATTATTAATTGATTGTCTTGCCTTGGAGGCGTTAAGTCAGTTTTCATCACGATTATGTCATTTATTGATTTTATTTCTTCTCCAGGAAAAAGGGGGGGGGGATACGGAGGGGAAAAGCCCATAATCTATGTTATCCATAATGACTGTGGTTTTCTTTCTGTCTCTGAAAACATGTCAGAAATAATCCCGGAGGAGCCTTTAGGTGCACTGCCAGCGTAGCTTTTGCTCATGATCATTAATATCTGTCCTTGAGCAAAGTGGGTGAAATCTATGTGTAATGTCAGAGTAAAGAGATGATGCAGCCCAATGGCGTACACTCACAGTGTCTGATGTGGCCAAACTGATATGAAGGACCTGGCCAGGGAATGAAATGTGCCAGTGGAGCAGACAAGACCTTTGGTTTAGCCCTTTATTGGGTTTTGTGACAGAAAGAGTCTCGTAACGATTTTGGTTGATTTTCCTTTATTAATCAGAGCCTGAGGTTGCAAAATAATAATTTCATGCAGAATCATAATGAGCAAAATGCTGCTGTATTTCGAGGAAATTAAAACAATAAATCCATTCATTCTCAAAATGAAGTGAGTTTATTCAATTTTCCCTCTAAGTGAAGCTCATGAAATGTCTCTTCCAACATCTGCTTTGTGCTAAGCAAAGCCCAGTCTTCCAGTCACTGTTAAGAAAGCGTCCAGTGGCCTTGCTGTGTGTGTGTGTGTGTGTGTGTGTGACAATGCATAAGTACACTCTGGAACAATGTGCCAGCTTTATATTAACACAAGTTACACAACCCTGAAAAAGTTGGGAACATATACGACAAATACAGAATTTTCCGTCGGATTAAAACTCAACATCGCAAAAAAAAAAAAAAAACGCTATACAATACTTTGTGCGACTGAATTTTTTCGTTTTATGATGCAATGCTGAAAAATAGCAGAACATTCCACTGAGCTCTCTGCTTATGACTGTCAGCCTTTAATCTTGATTGCAAACGACTGTCATATAATTCGAAAAAGAGGACTTGTTTCGTCAAATGGATTTCTCTGAGACTATCTGTAACGGCTGTTGCGTCGAACAAGCCTTCTTCCAAGCAGATCAGAGGGAGTAACTCCCTGGCATGAAGGGCGGCAGATACGGTTCCTGTCTCAATTCCGTGGCTACTGTGAGAGCTGGATAATTGAGGTCAGCTAGATCCACTGTTTTCCTCTCTGGAGATGTATAGGAAAGTTTTTTAGCCGTCACCTTTATGTACCCTCCATTCAATTGTAGATGTTGTTCAGTTGTTGGCTTTCTGTTGGTAGAGGAATGGCTGCCTCGCATTTACCTCTGATATGTAGAAGTTATGTATCTCATTGCTGCATTGCTCTGTGTCTCCCATTAGAATTCAATTTCCCCGTTTCCTTTTTCTGCAGCTTGCTATTACATTTTGCTAAATGTTCTCATTTGCTGTTTGTATCCCGTCTCATTGTGAATATCTACAGAGAGATGCAGGGATTTAATTAATTCATCTTTTTGTTGTGCTGAAAAGCAGATGTTAATGCAGTAAATTGTAGAGTCTTTCACCAGAGATCTCACTCAGAATTGTGTCAGCTGTTGGTTGTGACTAATTAAATCTAAACTAAAACTTATTCTCTTTGCTTGACTTGCTTACCCACACATGAATGAAGACTTGGACCTAAGAACCATGAATTGCCTATACATAATGTATATTATAGTTGAACTTGAGTGTGACATCAAGCTGGAGCTGTGCGATGAAACTTCTTATGCCATGCAGTTATCATGGGTTTAACAAACAAATATAAAAAAATGAATAAAAAAGACTAATTGGGTGAAACAAAAATATTTGACATTTTGCAAAAAACAAACAAACGAAAAAAATGTGAGTCACATGTTAATGTGAATGTTTCCATTTTTTCCGTGGTATGACATTATTACATGGGTGTCATTTTATTTTTACTATAAATACCATCAAGTAATTTCTTTCCAGAGTGGTTGTGTCATGGAGCTCCTGTACTCCAACATAAACTCACTGTGCTTGTTTCAGCTGATTATGTGATACCCATAAATACCATGAATCTGCTTAAATATAGAACAAAAGATTAATCGAGTGGGGCAGAGACAAAAATAAAAAAGGAGGAAGATACGATGGAAGGCATGAAGGAGGTTTGGATTGCTTTTGAGATTTTACAGGTAAAGATGTGAGGCACACAAAGAAGAGAAGTACCAAAACCACTCTGAAGATTCCCATCAGTGCGAGCTAAAAGCTGCTTGATGGGCTGATCGGCCAGGCTGGAAAGCAGTTGTTTTACAGAATGATGTATACAGCGATACCGAAGAGATGGGTTCGTGCCCATAAACCCAATTTGGTCTTAAGGAGAATTGATTCTTTCTTATAGGGGTGAAGGAAAATAGTGGAGGCAAAGAGAGGATTTTGTAAACTGAATGTTCTAACATTTAAACCTGTTCAAATTTCCAATCTGACATGAGTTTTGAAAACCATCCTCATTTCACTGGATAGCATCTCTTGTCAGAGGTAAAGCAGCTCTGGGACTCAGTTCAGAGCCTTGGCAAACATGAGAAAGTGCTGGTGACATGCTGGTCAAAGGTAGAATGTCAGCCTGTAGACTCTTTCAAACGGAGCAGGCTGTATAATCAGCACGTTGAATATGGAGGTGTTGGGCTCTGACTTTGCTTTGAAAATCTTTTCAGAGATTTTGCTACAGTGTCATCGGGGCATATTGATAAGACCAAATGGTGCCTCCGATCTAATGGAATGTGAAGGATGCTTTTTGTATTAGACTAAACAGGAAATAAAGAGTTTCTACGGAGTTGTATTTCTTTTCTGGTGCGTTGCTTAGCGCTGTTACCAACAGCGTTCAGGTTTCAACTTCCAGAGACGGCTTTTGGGATTTTGGGCTGTGTTTGTAACTTCTTATCTGCAAGGATTTCTTCTCAGTGTCGTGTTTCTTTACTATAGTTCAAAAACATGCATATTTCACTAAACATCAAAGGGTCAGCCGGGATATGTGCAACAGGATAAAAAGGGCTATAAAGCAGCTAATGGACAGACCCACACTGCAGATTAAGCTCAGCAATGTAAGGATATACATCTTAATTTTGGAAAATAATTTCATTATAGGCAGAGCTGTGTTAGTCCAGGAATCCTGTAGGACTGGGAGCCTTTCTTTGTGGAATTAACATGTTCTTCCATGTATGCTTGGGTTCTCTGTATTACAAGTTTTCTGGCTTCTTCCCACAGTTCAAAAACATGTTAGATTAATTGGTGATTCTAAATAGTAGTAAATGTGTGATGGACCTGTCCAGAGTGTACCCCGCCATTTTCCCAACGTCTGCTGGGGCAGGCGACAGCCCAATTTGTTGTGGACAAATGTACCTATACCTCATTAGGCTGGGCTCATTTTACAGTTTCTATATCCATCAAAAACATTTCTTCAGGAGCTTTACTTAACTGGAGCCACACGTAAGAAAAATATCAAATCAGTTTCATCTATCTGCACAATAAAGTGGAATTTGAAACGGTCTTTTTATTAATTAAATATGAAATTGATACACAGAAGAAATAGTTGCACTTGCTGCTGTGTCACTTTACGGTCTCTGTGATTGCTTCATAATTAAAACCTGGTCAGGCCTTGCCAGTTTAATGATTTTGACATGAAATATAGCTTTCTGTCTGCATCAGCAGAGACTAATACAGATGTAATGGTCTGTAAGAAAAAAGAAAGAGTGAGAGAGAGAAGTGGTGCA